CGCCCTCCTCGACGAGCAATGTTAGCTGACATAGGGTCAGGTTGGAAAAGAGTCAGCGGTTGTCAAACCAAAACATAGGTTCATCAGTCAATGAAATCCACAACAGTTAGTTTAAGCCACATAGGAAGGTGTGGACATCTTGACTGGTTGGGGTCCTCGGGACGGTGAAAACCAATGAAAACTGGAGAAAAGTTGGTGATATGGCTCAAAATAATCGTTTTCAATGTCTGACGCAGATGCATCCACTCCTTGTAACCCAATGAAACAATATTGTTCTTCGTTGTAACTATTTCTATCTCATATCCCTGTCTACTGTCTCTATTAATCATTTCTTCTCTTGATTTGTGTGATACATGGAGTGGAGTGCGGCGACTTGAACTGCTGCACATTGAGATGCTGAGTTCTATGTCAAAAACAGACTGGCAGACAGACTTCACCGCTACAGAGAAACTTCTTTTTATTTTCTTCATGACTCAATCTGTTTTTCTCTCTAATGAAATATTTATATTCTCTATATGAAGCTTTCATTGTCTATACAGTCAGCCTGTTCAACGCTTACTTCTTATTGTCTAGGTTACGTTGATTGTGGTCAATAAAGCAGTTGAAATAGATACTGGGTGGTGACTCATGCCCTGTTTACTATGTCCCAAAACCATCACCAAACACCTAGACTTATTCATTTGTCATCATCATGCAGGGGGTCAGTCACAAGCCTGGTGTAACTTCATCGGTAATATCTTGGACTACGCCACTGGGCGACTCAAGTTCGATACTTAGAAAGTCTATTCAAATGTATCAGTCATGCTGATGAGTGTTAAAAAGCGCACGAAATCTAGGTCCAGGGTTACCTACCGATTTCTATCAATAAACAATAAACAACAATAACTACCTCTCTCTCTCTCTTTCTCTTGATTACCTTTTCCTGTAATTGGTTGCCTTCAGTAGCATTTATTATCTTTGTATTACCTTTTGTTTTGGATAAGTATTGACCCTTTGATTCTTTTTTTTTTTGAAATTTGCCCTGTTAGTCACTGTTTCCATCATGTAGTTGTGTTATTTATTGGTTGATAAATTTGACCTTTTTGTTAGTGTATGTCTGTTATTTGATTGAGATTGATTGAAGTACCATGAGGTTTCTAAGAATTCTCTGATATTTCTAGCATTTCCCCAGGGTTTTTGATATTTTCAAATTTTATCAAGGCCTTTAGCTATAAAAATAGTTGTCGATAATTTCCTCTTCTGGTTTTACAATTATATGTATATATGTTTATATACATAAAATATTCTAGAATAGTAGGCGATAACAATATTAGTGCGTTTTTTAAATAATATCGATTTGTAAAGTAAGATCACAGTGGAATTACAGTTCATTAAAGATGCGTAAATAATAATAATAATAAAGATATAGTAGCAAATAGAATATCAACTAAAATTAGGAAAATTCCATAAAAATTCAGGATCATTCGAACTTAGATGACCAAGCGGGTAAGGAGAATGTCTGAACCAGCTTCTTTTGGACGCTTAAATTAGGCTTCTTAATGTGGATTCCAACAGTCAGCCTCAGCAATATTTAGTAATTGAACTCTAAAGGTGAAGTTAAGAATTGTTGGTATGCGGTAAATGACTTTGAAAACTGCCTCTTTAACATCAATCTTGTGTTCTGTCTGTATCCACAAGATGACTGAGATAGAATAGCGCTACGAATAGATTTTGTTTGTCCTTCACTTAACCACTATGCAGGATGATGTTCGGAAATTCGACGAGAAACACGCCTAATTGTACGGCCTATACAACTAACTGGCTCACTCCACAGGAGCAGTTAAATTGGTAGATACACATGGAAGAGGCGAAATTAGGCAGTTTATCTTTTACTCCCGAACGCAAAATAAGGGTGTGTGTGTGTGGTTTTTGAAGATACAGCATAATTCAACAACAAGGAATGCTCCTTTTACCGCCGTATTCCTAAGGCGTTGTGTTAGCCATCTCGCTGATGTTGTCCCCAAGGAACTGCATTTATAAGAATAAGGCTTTTTTAGGAACCGTTGGTACCTTGAGCTGCTTTGAGTTTAGATTCATATTCTTATCAATAAACTTCTGGATAACCGTTTTCACTCAGGAACCGTTTAATATTGTTGAGTTCCTCATCAAGACATTCATCCGAGCAGATTACTATTGCTCTGTGGCGGACCAAGCAGTTTATCAGATTGCGTTTGCATTTTTCAAAGGCACGAAGCTGAAAAAAAATGAGTATACTAACCCGTTGATGTGGGTTTTCTATATACATTTAAGCGAACAATAGTTTTCAATTAGATCTCATCAGGCTTAACTCTAATATATATAAGTTTACAAATTATATAAACCAATCATGGTGTTTTGTCTATGGGATAATACGATGGTGAATATAAATTGTGCAGTTAGTCATAATAGTGGTAATGATAATAATAATAATAATATTGGTCTCATCAATAATAAGAATGAAAAATGAGGCGATCTGTGATAACACGAATAATGGGAAAACAGTATGATTAAACAAACAATTGTTCAGGTGGAAGTAGTCGATAAAGGCTAGCAAAAACAAATGAACCGATTACGTAATGTTAGGTTGTAAGGGAAGGAAATGAAACACATTTATAATGAATGTAAGATAAGATTAAGAGATGATAAGAATGGGGTTGGAAATATAAATAAAGGGTGGTGTAGAAGTCTTTCGTTGGTTATGTCTTATTAGGCCACGGGAGGGATACTGGCTGCACGAACTTCTTTTGAATGCATAGTTTAGGTTTAATAGTTCGAATGCCTATCACCTCAACTGTGTGCAGTAGACGAATACAAAGTCTATTGGAAAGATTCGGAGGGATACGATGAATTATTTTGAAAGCTTTCGTTTTCTGCACTACATGACCACTATCAATTAGATGTGACAGAATTGAGCTACGGATTGTTTTCGTCTGTCCTTTGCTAAACCACACCATGATGGGAGATGTTCGCTAACACGTCGGCTAAGCTGCCTAGTAGTACGCCCAACCACAGGTGCAGTTGAATTGATAAATACACATAGATGTGGCAAAACTATCTAGCTGTCTATCCTTCGTTTGCGTCCCAATCATTCGTCGGCTAGAGAATGACAAACATAGGTGTGCTGCGTAAAATGTTCTACGTATACTCCTTGAAAGTCTCTGGAATAAAATCTCACTAGATAAGTCCCCATTAAATTATAATTTAATAAATAGAGGTTTCTTATGTGCAGTCAGAGTCACAGGTTTTTTCTCTGATGGTTTCATGTGTTTCTCTATGAAACTACTCGGATAGCCAGGCCATCTCCGTCAAGGAATCGTGAATATATTCAAATTCCTTTAGTAAGAGGTCATCCGTACATATCTTCGTTGCTCTGCTCGAGAGACATTTTACAAGATTCCTTTTATATTTAATGGGCACGTAACTAAGGAAGTGTGTGTGTGTGCGTATTGCTCTGTGAATGTGCTTTTTCTGTACACACTTCTCCCAAGTGACCCATCTTCTCTCCTACTTAGCAAGACATCCAGGAAATGCAGTTTATTCTCCCGCTCCTCTTCACACGTAAAGGTAAGCGAAGGTTGGGTGTTGTTGAATTTAAGTAACAATTCGTTTATGTTAACCTTCTCATCAGCTAAGATAAATATATCATCGACATATCGGTAATACATATCCAACTCCTTGATGGTATCCTTCAATTTCCCGTTTTCAAGTTTTGCGAGAAAGAAGTCAGCTAATATTGGGCCTAATATATATATATATATATATACACTTCTTTTTCTTCTTCTTGTGTCATCCTCTTTTCTGGTTATAAGGACGTCTAGAAATGAAATGTTGGATTCTTTTTCTTTCTCAGTAGTAAAATTTGTTGCAGGATGAACCTCGTTAAATTTATCCAGGCAGGATGTTCTTTGCCTCATCTTTCTCATTTCTCATAATCAAAAATTCGTATCATCCATGTACCGAAAAAATAAAATTCAAGTCTATCTATTACGTCTTTCAAAGGTCCATTTTATAGTTTCACAAACAAAATGTCAGCTAGAATGTCAGTCCTTGTGGCGTGACCCCATTGCCACACCGTCAATTTGTCTATATAGTTCCTTATTAAATGCAAAAAGTGGATATTCATTGTGCATTTCAAGAGAAGCTCTTTCATAAAAGATATAAGAATGCTAATATCGATGTTTCGTCTTGTGTGTTCCCTGCATACAAAGTTCACTGTTTCCATAAATGGTACATTGGCGAATAAGGAAGATACGGCAACAAGTGATATCATGAATTTATTGTCAACATTTAAATCTTTTATCCTTAATTTGAGTTGATATTCTATTCTTAATTTATGAATCTTTCCTGAACTCTGTAATTCCACTGCGATCTTATTTAATAAATCTATATTATTTAAAAAAAAAACACTAATATTTTTTTAATGACTACTACTCTAGAATATTCAATGTATCTAGATGTACATATATAATTGTAGAGCCAGAAGGGAAGTTTATCGAAAAGGATATTCTTTGCTCGCTCAATTATTTTGTGTTTTACAATTGTAAGATGAGTGCGTTGGTGTGGCACAGCGATTAACATGCTCACCAACCCATGCGCATGGTCCGGTGTTCGATCCTCGGCCACCGTGACGCACTCCTTTACCTTGCTAAGCCGGCAATAATGCTGGTAAATAGGAAAGGTTGGGCCAGGTGAGGCTAGCAACCCCATCCTGTAGAAATAAACACCACTGCTACAGAAACTTGAAAGTGCCCTATGTTTCACTGGGAACATGAAGGAAAAAAAAATTGTAAGATGCCTCATTCTCACTTGATGTGTCAGTAAACCATTTGTTTTCGTATAAAAGATAATAATAATAATTACGCTTTGCTCTGATGAGTAACTGTCAAGTGCGAAATTCAAGAGAAAATGATCACAGTTTTTTGTTGGTACTATTTCTGATTTGTAAAATCGTGTTTTTATCCCCCTGTTTATTACGTAAATAGGTGCTTGTGAAAAGCTGTCATTAAGTGGACGGTCTACCGGTGAAGTTGGAATATTTTCGACCAGTCAATTTTATCGATTAGGTGATGAAACATTAGCTTTCCTGCCTCAGGTTAGTTGGTGTAGCAGTTGCTTTTTTGTTTAAATATTTGATATTTGTGTAAACACATCATACTATTGATTTGCAGTTGTTAGTATTCTTCTAAACATTTGATCTGCCGTAGAATTTTCATTCATTTTAATTTACAACAATCATGGAATAAATAGTTCTCTGATGAGTCTCTGATATGTATCCACATGATGTGTGTTTTGTTTTTGACAGTCTATTATATTTTGGTATGTGTATATGGATCGATATTTCATTATAACTGACAATATGCTTTTGTCTGTCTACTAACTAAATAAACATATATGACCTTGTTATCACATGACATTACAACCAATCATGGTAAGACATTAACTTATTGGTTCATGTGTACTAGCCATTTTCATATATACTTTTGTACTGTATACTTGTACTCACTTGTTCCCCCGTTTCGTACATTACGTACCATTCCACTCACACTCTTGTGTGACATTTATTTTCCTTGTCTGGAAAATACAAGTATCATCGTGTAAACCTAGTGGTGGTCTTCTGATTTCCCTCTTTCCGCGTCAGGACTATTTACTACTACTCGACGAGTGCATAACATAATTGGCGACGGGGAAAACAACTCTAATAACTCACTCAGCAGCAGTAGATAACAGTCTCTTTCCTGCAAATTCATCCAGCTACCTGTAGAGTCACAATTGTGTATAATTATTTTTAAATGCGTACATTCTGTGTGTGTCAAACGTACCTCAAAAGTAAAAAAATTACTTTGGAAGTACTGTTTATATTTTTTGAGTTTGATCAAAGATTGATATCAGTTAGAGAACCGTTGAAAACCACACCATGTAGTACAACTGGACAGCTATTTCATCCTAGTTTGGGAATCATCAACAGTACGCACTCACCACACGGGGTTTCGAACCCAGGACATTCCGATTACAGGGCAAGAAGTTGTGACCAGTGAGGTTGATCCATTTGAGAATGAAGATGGATTTCCCGCTGATGACATTGGATGGTGCCTGTTACGCTAAATTCACCATTTAATAGGAGTTAGAATGGATGAACTAGCCATTGAGTCGGATTCAAATTTATTTCTTTGTGTTACCTAATTGCCTGAGCTGCTAGCAAGAATTCTAGTAGTTTCAACTGATTTGGCTCAGTCTGTCTCTCTCTCTCTCTCTCTGTGAGTTGAACCTAACTATGTATCACATTGCTGATGAGTTCGACTCCAAATAAGTGAGAAAGTCATCCAGTGTTGTTGCTTTTTCGCTTTAATGCGATTAGAACTGAAGACTGTGAAATCTTAAGTTTTAACAGCGATGGTGCTGTTTAGTTTTACAATGTGAGGTTGTTTAAACTCACACCAACTGCTGGCTAGACAAAGTTGAGGAATACGTCACCCGTTGGTAATCCAATGTGATTTCATGGATTGATTTCAAGTTAAGGTTTCTGTCTGTCTGTCTGTCTGTCTGTCTGTTTTCGACGTAGAACTTTGCACAAATGTGCGGAAGTTCAAGTCGCCACACTCCGTGTAGCACGCGAAGCAAGAGAAGAAAGTACAAGAAAAGCATAATAGAGACAGTAAGTAGAGGTGTGAGACAAAAGAGAGTAATAACGAAGAACAAAACAGTTTCAAAGGAAATCATAGGTCACAGGGAGTGGATGCATCTGCGCCACTGAGAACGATTTCGAGCCATGTCACCAATTGTCTCCAACCATTGGTTTTTACCGTCCCGTGGACCCCAGCCTGGAAGTCTACACCTTCCTACGTGGCTCAGACCAACTGTTGTGGATTTCATTGACTGGTGAAGCCAAGTTTTTGTTTGACCGCCGCTAGCTTTTTTCCAGCCTGACCCTATATCCGCTAACATTGCTCGTCGAGGGAGGCGATGGCTTGGCATACGTAACACATGTCCTGACCATCTCAGTCTTTGTAGCTTCACGACTTCGTCGATTGATTTCCCCTGTTTACCTAGAACTCTACGTCTAACCTGAATATTGCTCACCTTATTAAGCCACTTCACACGGGAGATAGATCGCAGGCACCTATGATCAAAGACAGCTAGTCTTTTCATGTCTTCCACTCTCAGTGGCCAGGTCTCACAGCCAGCCATAAAGGAGGACGGATCGGACTGTTGAGCAGTACACCCGCCCTTTGGTCGATAGTCAAACATCTCGTCTACGCCAGAGTCGGCGTAAACTGACAAATGCGAAACGAGCCCCTTGTATTCGTGCCGAGATTTCGTCAGAGATCAACCCGTTGTCACTGGTTGATGGTACTTCCCAAATAAGTGAAGCGGTCAACGTGCTCTACCACTTCACTTCCTATTTTTAAACTAGGCGTCGATGTAGTCCAGTCCTGCAACATCATCTTGCATTTGGCGGGAGCGAATCGCATGCCAAACATTCGTAGATTGCAGCTTAAGGTGTTTAGAAGACACTGCATTTTGTCAGCGTCCTCGCCTAGAAGTACTATATCGTCTGCATATTCTAAGTCAACGAGATTATTAGTTACATTATAAGTTAAGGTTTAATTACCCCTAGCTCTTTTCCAACCTGATCCATGCCCTGTTAACTAACAGTCATCATCGAGGAAGACGATGGCGAGGCATGCATTACACATGTCCTAACCATCTCAATCAATGTACCTTCCAAACCTTATTACTTGACTTTCCCTCCTTACCTAGCAGTCGACCGAAGAAGCCTAACCTCAATATTACTCACCCTGTTATACCACCTAACATGGAAGATAGAAAGCCATGGTAAATACACAGGTGGGTGTATTTTTTGGACATTATAAGTCAATTCCCTCAGTAGTGATTATTCAATCACCTTTCCTACCCAACTTTCCAGTCTATCATCACATTTTTGCACTCCCTGTTCCAACACATTTACTAAAAATACACGTCCATGAGATATCTTTCTTCAATTTTCCTTATCAATCGATAAGAAGGAAACCTTACACACACAAAGGGTCAAAGTTCAAGTCAAAGAAATAATCACTTCCAATACAAGTAGCCTAGAGGGTGTGAAAACACACAAAAGCAACCAATCACGAGGTCCAAAGTCACCAGGAGAGAGATGAATAGTAAACTCGTGGAGAAATCTAAATCCCCACTTGAAATTGAAGTATGCACTGAAGATGTCGCCTAGTAGGGGGCTATGAAAGCTTTGCAAATTAAACTATTTAGCTCAGAGAACACAACCACATCAAAAAGATGGACGACCTCATTGGTCATGACTTCTCACTAGAACTCCAGGGAACTCCATCATGTTGCAAATCACTAGGAAGAATGTGATTAATTTTCAAGAGTTGTCACCCTCCGAAGTCAAACTTGTCTTTATGCACTCGAGTTTTATTCGAGTGCCTGGTGTATAACATTACTCAGCCATCTCCTCAGAATGGATCCGATCCATCTCGATCTCCTATATATATATTGAATTGAAATTTGTTTGTGTTTTTAATGTTTTTTTTCTAAGTCACATTTGTGTTGATATTTTTTATTTCTTTCTCTTGTTCTTATTTTCTCTCTCTATACAGTTCTTCGATCATCAAGCGCTTTATTTAAATTTAGATGTGGAATTTCTTTTAGACTGTTTTCGTACATGTATTGGCTATTTAAAACATGCATGGACTAGTCCGGGACGTCCCTTACTCTTATTTCCAATATATCGTCGATATTTCCGTTCAGGTAAATAATACACGCCTTGAATTTGTATTGATTTTTTTGTTGTTGAAAAAAAAACATAAAATTGATGATAGGCTTGAATTCATGGATGGATCGTTGAATCGACTCCACTCCCTTCACTGCCATCTTGTAAGTAGCCTTAATGGTCAACAAGCTCTACTTGTTGATATGTCTCAACATGATGTGTGTTTTGTTGTTGACAGTCTATTATATTTTGCTATGTGTATATGGATCAATATGTCATTATAACTGACAATATGCTTTTGTCTGTTCACTAACTAAACAAACATATATGACCTTGTTATCATATGACATTATAACCAATCATGGTAAGACGTTAACTTATTGGTTCATGTGTACTGGCCATTTTCATATATACTCTTGCTTTATTATTCCTGTACACAAACTTTTTCGTACACTCGTACCATTTCACTCACACTCTTGTGTGACATTTATTTTCCTTGTCTGGAAAATACAAGTATCATCGTGTAAACTTGGTGGTCTTCTGATTTCCCTCTTTCCGCGTCAGGACTATTTACTACTACTCGGCGAGTACATAACACTTGTGGATTCGATCCTCGGTCTGGAGGTCATGGATGGTAAGTACTGGTGAAGAGTCGCAATGTAGGACACAAATCAGATGTGTTAAGTACTAGCTATTTTGCAGTTGTTCTCTAACTGGAGTTAAATCTCTATTAACTAACAAACACTTGAAAACCTCAGTTGTCAAGTGTTCAGTTGTAAGGATTGAATTGACTTCGTAATAGCAGAAGGCAAGAATCAGGCAACAGATTGTTTATTAAGCAAATCAACACATATTTACAGATTTTCATGTAAATATTATAGATTATTGTTAGCAGAAAAACACGGTCCTCTGATTGGTTGTTTCTTACAGAAAGTTAACCTTGCATCTCTTTGTGGCTGTTTCTTGAATGTCAGATCATCTTTATATATTAACTGTATCCACCTACGCAAGGCCTTTGTTCTCATTTTTTTCACGCCCAACTTTGAGGACATAAACATTGACATAAATTACTGTCCACCAATTCTGATTAACAGCCAGCACTCACCACAACTTCAGGTTATCTTCATGTGCGGATTTTCAACTCCAATTCGAAGTCAGTGCCACTTACTATACGGATCAGAGACTTGGCCAGGGCGTCACGAAAGGCACTTTGAACAAACTACAGACCTCCACTGACAGCAGTCTTCGATCAATACTACTCAACATCAGATGATCAGAAAAGATCAGCACCAGGGATCTGTGACAATCAAAAAGAGCCAACCCAGCAGGAACTGTTTGTGCAAAAAATACGCAGAAAGAAATGGAGGTGGATTCGACTATCCATACTCTGAGAAAGCAAACCATCAAGTGAGTGATATCACACACCAGTTTGTCGGTCTAGTGGAACCCGAATTGGAAGTGGTGAGTTGTTCATCAGTTCGATAGTGATATGGAGACGTAGGAGGTGATGCGAAGAGGAGATGAAAGCATATGGGTAGACGTGGAGGTGGATGAAAATGTTGACAGAGAACGGAATTCAATGAAGACGTGCGGCTAAAGCGCTATGTTTCTCTAGGAATTAAATATAACAATATCTTCAAATCAAAAAAGGATGTTAGTTAGTTAGAGAATTTAAGAAGCTTTATGCAGCTGTTTTGTCGTAGTTTTAATTTAAACCCACCATTTGTGTTAATGAATATTTCTACTATTATTATTATATTATTATTATTTCACTTAGGTTCCGACTGGAACACAAAGCCTAAACAGTACATCTCCGTTTCAGTCTGTTCTCTGCAGTCCTCTTGGTAGCTGCCTCTGCGATTGTCCGTAAGCTCTCATCTCTCTCTTTCTCACACGATTTCCATCATGTCACCCTTGGACTACTAGCACTCCATCCGAGGGCCTGTTGCGTGATGTCACTCTCCATTTCCTTCTTCATTGTTTATTTTTTTTGCAACAAGTTCTTGATGGGTTCCTTTCCAGAGTTTCCTTTTGTTGCTGATGCTTTTTTCTAGCCATCTGATCTTCCGTATTGAACTAACGAAGGTAAACATTGATGAAAGTTTGGAGCCTGTTTGAATAACTTTCGGTGAGACACACGTGCTAAGTCTTGGAATCACAGAGAAGCATTAGCTGACTGTCTGACTGACTACTTGACTCTACTGTTGAAAATCTGGATCTTCTGCCTCTTCGCTATACTGAAGGTGGTAGAGATTTTTATGGATTGATTTCAAAGTATTGAATATCTCTTTCTTGCTTTTTGGATCTTGGATGATTTTGTAGTTAAAAAAAAACTCCAATGTTGTGTGTATTTAAAGTAACGTCTAATTCCTAGAGATGATGGTGAACTATTTAGAAAACACATCGGATTGGTTCCCTGGATACATTTCGACAGAGAAAGAAAGACCAGATTTGCAGTATAAATTGTGATATCATCATTCTATTTCACAGGTTCTCATCAGCTGTACACCACTACCTGAAATTACAATGGTTATATAGTTGTTGATAATAACATACTTCAATGGTTAAGAGGTAGTAGAGAGAAGAAAGCTATACTATAAAATTGACGCGTCCAAAATGTGAGCAGCATTACAATTTCTTTAGTTCAAGTTTTCATCATCAATTTATACACTTTCAAAGTAGAAAAGAGAGGGGAAGGGTAAGACAGAAAACGGAAAAAATTAATTAACAGAACAGTTTTAGCTTGTAGGTTCACACAGCAACTAAAAAATAAAAGCGGTTACAGTTTATAAGATTGAGATTTGTTTAGCGATGAGTTGAGATCACTGAATTAGATGACTAATTAATGTAATCAAAATCAAAATTCAGTTACCAAGGGAGTGAGAGATTAATCACACTCTCTTTGGGTATGCATAAGTCTGAGGCGAATCGTTTGATTGTGACCGCTTCGGCAATTCACAGTTAATTTGCTGTCTTTTGTCTATTTAATATTTTGAAGGACTTAGAAATCTCTACGAGATGTCCAGTATCAGCAATATGTCTGGTAATTGCACTCTGAGAATAGCTGATTCCTTTTAGGCACAGGTTTCTTGAAATATGTTGAGAAAACCGGATAGAAGCCTCTCTTTCCGTCCACCTCATGACGTGGACGTCGAAAAGTCGTTCAAAATTATCAATAGGCAAAAGAGCTCAATTCTCCTTAAGTTTGCTGAAGCGATTTCTATCAAACGCTTGAAACCAGATTTATGTCTTCAGAAAGAAGCAGTTATTAATCTTTTCTTGCCTTGGTAACTGGATGTCTTTTTTTTCTCTCATCTGATTACGTAACCTTTGTCTTTAACCTCACCCTCCTTTTTTATAATCTGTAATATTGCTTGTCTCTTGTTTCTATGATTTGAGTTCAACTCAGTACATTGTTACCTAACTTACTAGTCACTATGCATCTAACGCACATCTCATCTTTATTACGTAACTCCTTTACCATTTTCTGCATACATTTAATTTGTTTTAACTTGAACTGTCTGTGTGAAAACTATATAAGCGCAATCTTTTGAGCACTGTTTACTAATTGTGGAATTTTCTGTCAACTGACAACATGTAAAAATTTGCAAGTATATTAAAACATGTCTGTACTTAAACCTCATAATTTATTTAGGCTGTAAGCAGCTGATGAGAAGCCGACGAAATAAATGATGGTACCACATTATTCTGCTAAAACTGTAGTTCTTGCTTTGTTCAAATATTGCTGATACTGGACATCTCGTAGAGATTTCTAAGTCCTTCAAAATATTAAATAGACAAAAGACAGCAAATTAACTGTGAATTGCCGAAGCGGTCACAATCAAACGATTCGCCTCAGACTTATGCATACCCAAAGAGAGTGTGATTAATCTCTCACTCCCTTGGTAACTGAATTTTGATTTTGATTACATTAATTAGTCATCTAATTCAGTGATCTCAACTCATCGCTAAACAAATCTCAATCTTATAAACTGTAACCGCTTTTATTTTTTAGTTGCTGTGTGAACCTACAAGCTAAAACTGTTCTGTTAATTAATTTTTTCCGTTTTCTGTCTTACCCTTCCCCTCTCTTTTCTACTTTGAAAGTGTATAAATTGATGATGAAAACTTGAACTAAAGAAATTGTAATGCTGCTCACATTTTGGACGCGTCAATTTTATAGTATAGCTTTCTTCTCTCTACTACCTCTTAACCATTGAAGTATGTTATTATCAACAACTATATAACCATTGTAATTTCAGGTAGTGGTGTACAGCTGATGAGAACCTGTGAAATAGAATGATGATATCACAATTTATACTGCAAATCTGATCTTTTTTCTCTATTGAAATATTCTCTTTCAATTAGCTCTTCACTATCGGCTTGGCACCACTTTAACAGCTTTTGTAGAGCTACTTACACAAGACGTACGATCAAAGAAGTTCGTCGTCGTATTTCTGAGCACCCCCTATCTTGGCTTCGCAGATGTCAGAATAAAGATATGCACAACTTAGTACTACCTCATTTCGTCGATACTGGATATCAAGTTGACTATAGCAAAGCTTGTATGGTGATTAGTCGTATTCCACCCAACCTTTCTCATGGTCTGTGAGCAAGGCTTTTTACATACAGCAGAGGCAATCGGAATTCAACTGAACAGGCCATATCTGTGTTGGGTTCAAAAGAAATTTGTACAAGCGCCCCTTCTTTGCTATGGCCAACTAAAGCAAGAAGAACAACGGTGGTTTATGCATAATAAGATGCTATCATCATTTATTTCTTTGGTTACTCATCAGCTGCGTACAGCCGAAAGTTATTAATAAGTTTATGTACAGAATAATTTTATCATATTTGCAAAAGTTATGTAATATCAGTTGACAGAAGGCTGTAAAGATTCAATGAACAGTGGTCATAAAATTACACTTATATAGTTTTTACCGAGAAGCCTACATCTCCCCATGGAACAAGACATCTCTTTGATGTAGAGGTCGTCAGGTAGACATCGCAAAATCCTTTAGAATTATCGATCCAGAAATACCTTAATTCTCCTCAAGTTTACCGAAGCGATCTCTATCAAACACCGGATACCCAATTTTTGTGTTCAGAAAGAAGCATTTATCAGTCTTTCCTTGACCACCTGCTAATTGGATGTCCTTACTCTCTCTCTCTCTCTCTTTCGTATGGTCACGCAATCTTTGGCTTTAACCTCAACCCTCTCCTCAACCTTTTAACATAGTGTAATTTCGCTTGTCTCGTGTTTCTTTGATTTGAGTTGAACTCAGTACATTGGTCACCCAATCTATTAGTTACTCATTCATCATCTGACTCACCTCTCATCTTTATTACGTAACACCTTTACCATTGCATGCATACATTCACTTTGTTTAAATTTAAACTGCTTGTGTAAAATTGTGCACAAAGCATAATTTTGTGAACACTGTTCACTAATTGTGAGAAATTCCTGTCAACTAACACCATTGTAAAATTTACAAGTATGTTAAAATTGTTCTATACGCAGACTTCATAATTTATTTAGGCTGTAAGCAGCAACTGAGCTGATGAGAAGCCAATGAACGAAATAAACAATGATGGTAGCGTCTTTTTCCTCTGCACAAACTGTTATCAGTTCATTGTAATTGTGTCTGCAATCGGTACTTATACACAATAAATGAGTTGTGTTATATGCGTTGATTTAGGTAATATTTCGATCAAAATAACCATCAATGGTCACACCATACTCTCGAAGTGATGTTAGGCAACCTTGTGTTTAGTAGCTGTGAGTTATTGGTGTTTTAGGCATTCGGCTTTCAACCAAACGCGTTGGGGGGCTCGAACCCTGCTTTATGCGTTGAAATTTGGACGGCTTTGGTTAGTATAATCAACTCACACACACACACGCAAGTGTGACTAACTCATTGCCAACTAGGCATCGAATTTTGTAAGTGGTTACTGAGTAACATTGAATTGATTTCATGCAATTCTTCCCATTAATAAACTTCAACAAAGCAAGAACAACAATGATAAAAGATGAGCTCATATTATCCCGGTACAATTGTTCTTCTTGTTTTGTTCAAGTTTATTAATGAGAAGAATTGCATGAGATTTTTAAAAATCGTCTCTCTTCTCAATCATACAAGTCACTGAATCGCCTGGTGACCATACGATGCAGGATATCTAAAAAGTTGACTCGTCTGAGGTTCTTTGAAGAATTTCTAACTACCTGCTGTTTTCCACGCCAGTTTTTCAAGTCTGTCAGGCTATGCAAGTTGCCACCATCGTCAAAAAATCTCCGACGCCTCGCGAAATCCCAAATCGAGTACACCAATCAACTCATTTCCAGATTAAAGGAAGAAGAAGCTAGTGGCTTTGATCATATATCTTAAACGAAATGAACTTAGTCTGTAGAATCATGTTCACCAATTTAATTCGAGAGGTTCACAATAAAACAAGCGTAAAATTCGAGAAAAATTTATCGAAGATGCTGGTTAAAGAAAACAGTATGTGAGGGAATTCCGGAGAATTCTTGATGAATTCGTATTCAACTTCTCAAGTTATAAACTGAGTCAGATAGAAACGGAAGCACTTTCACTAGGTTTCAGATTCCACATTACAACGAAATTTACCAACAAAATTGATGTCGAAACCCAGTTCGAAGGTTTATACCAACAACTGTCCGAATTAAAACCAGTGCATAACGAAAAACAAGGTTGATTTAAATCTCGACTTATCAACATTGCTAATCAATATATCGTATCACCGAATCCCAAATCTACAGTTTTGTCGAAAGATCACCAAATAGCATTAAGAAACTTAATTAAAAATGAGTCTGTTGTTATTCTCCGACCTGGCAAAGGATCAGGTGTTGTGATAATGGATAAAGATAGTTATGTGAAAAAAATGGAATCAGTTCTGAATGACTCATCAACATTTCGAACTGATCCATCGAAGAAAGATCAAACCGTATCGATGAAAAGACAGATTGCAAAGAAGCTAAAAGAACTTTTAAAGAAGAAGTTGATTGGCAACAGCATATACAATGAACTGAAGCCTAAGGGATCCAGATTGCCTTACCTGTACAGCTTGCCAATGATGCATAAGCCTGATATCCCTTGAGACCAATAATATCTATGATTAATTCTCCATAACACAAAGTAGCTAGGTGGCTAGCAGAAATGTTGGAACCAATCCATAGTAAATTAGCAGTCTACAACCTGAAAGACACATTCCAGTTCGCTAAACAAATAGAGAATCTAAACATCTCAAATAAATTTATGACGTCCTTTGACGTGCCCTTACTGTTTACAAAGATCCCATTGGAAGAAACAATACAAATTATGTGTCAACATGCCGAACTTCTTCCTCTGCACAAGAACGAACCCAAACAACTTTTACTTGTGTGTACCAAAGACGTACAGTTCCAGTTCAACAACATTCTATACCGCCAAATTGACGGAGTCGCCATGGGAAGCCCCCTGGGTTCGATTCTGGCAGATATTTTTATGGGTAGTCTAGAACAAACAAGGTTGAAATCGGCAATCAGTCAAACCAACTTCTATACTACGTATGTCGGTGACACTTTCGTTATTTGTAATTCTTTTAATGATGCATCTCAACTATTAAAAGTCTGAACAGTGGTCATCCTAATATTAAGTTTACAATGGAGTATGAAAAAGAGGAGAAGTTCCATTTTCTTGACTTGAGTATCCAACGAGATAAAGACGGTAAAATCATAAGATATAAGATATATACACAGAAAAGAGACCTGGAGGGCGATTTATCTTAACTTCAAAAGTTTCTGCCCTATAAGTTACAAAAAGGGATATGGTGAGAATATTATTTGATCGTGTGAGGAAAATGTGTTTTCAGAAGAAAAGATCGAGGAATAGGTATCCGTTGTAGAGAAATGCCTACGCAACAACGCGGTTACCCACAAAAGTTCATCGACAAGTATGGAAGACGTTATGTTGAAAAAGTGAAAAGCAGCACAGTAGAGAAAAAGCCTATCTTTCTGCAGCTTGCATTCAGAGGTGATGATACTGCTAGTAGAATAAGATGCAGACTGAACGCTGCCCTGAAAAGAACATATCAAGTCGCCCCCAAGCTTGTATGTGTTTATCAAACAACTAGGTGTTTGAGACAATCAAAAGTGGACAGATAGCCACCTCATGAAAACCTCCAACTGTGTATACCAATTTACATGTACGTACCAAAGCACATACATTTGAAGAACATAGAGAAGGGTTATTGTCCGCATTTATGAACACATACCAAAGAACCTGAGGCTGAAAGTTCTGCAAGCATTAAACAGTGCGATTGTGCGTCATCTATTAGACACTGGTCATATTGTAGACAACTTGAAGTTGTTCAAAATAATCAAAGAAACTTAGCCTACTACGCTTTGCTGAAGCGATTGCTATCAAACGACTTAAACCACCAAATCTATGTACACAGAAAGAGACATTGGTGAATCTTACATTGCCCTGGTGATAACAAAAAATATACAACTTTCATGAGTCACCCTTTTTCTTGTTTAGGGAAACTCTACTCTCTCATCTAAACATGACTCACCCTACCTTGTTTGTTTTCTTTCCTTTTTTCTATTGGCTATTAGATAAGATGTTTTCTTTAGTTACATAATCCACTTTTTTGTTGTGCCCTTTCTAGCTAAACCTTTTTTCTATGCACACACATATATACGCAACTCTTTTTTTTGTTTCCAAGCCTAATTGTCTAATTATTCTATAAATAGTCTGTGTTTGTAACTCCGGACTAATGTTAGTTTTACTTCCTATCAACGAATTACTCCTTGTGATCGTGGAAAAGTATGTTCAAATCTTTAATGTAATTCATACATTTGTTTTATCATTCAGGTTGTAACCACTTGAGAAGAATCCTCGAAATAATAAATAATAAAAGATGAGCTCATATTATATTATCCTGGTACTGTACAATGGTTGTTCTTGTTTTGTTCAAGTTTATTAATTTGATTGATTTAACATTGAGTTAAGTTTTTTTAATCTTATTTCATGCCTTCAAAGCACTATTGTCGTTTTATATTTTCTTTACTTTTTGTAATAGGTCGAACAAGTATGCCACCTGCATTATCTGCAGCAATTAAGAAAATGGCTACAGGTTATATGAATGGGACACGGTAGGTTATAATGATTATTATTATTATTATTATTTCATGAATAAAACTTGATTAAAAACTAGACCAATTTCCTTTTTCCAATCTGAATAGTGTTCAAAGTATTATTTTTGTACTCATTCTACTAAATAACATACATTAAGTGAGGGGGGATTCAGGAAAGGCAAATCATGTACTGACCAAATTGCAACTCTACGCATCATCATCACAGAACAAAGCATGGAATGGCAATGAAACCTCTACCTCAACTTTATAGACTTTGAGAAGGCCTTCGACAGCGTTGACCGCGAAGTAATTTGGAAGTTACTCGAGTACTATGGCGTACCCCAAATATTCATCAACCTTATTCAACAGCTGTACGACAACGTCACATGTCAAGTGATCCACAACGGAAAACTCAGCGAGGCGTTTGGAGTAAACACAGGAGTCAGACAAGGGTGCTTACTATCACCGATGATATTCCTAATTGTGGTGGACTGGATTATGCGTCAGACTGTGGGAAACGAGAAGACAGGGATATCCTGGACCGATGTGAAGAACCTAGAAGACCTGGATTTCGCGCGTGGATGATTTATGTTTGATGTCACACACAATCGAAGACTTACAAGCGAAAACCGACCGAGAAACTGGTCGAAGAAGCAGCCGGTGAAGACAGGAATCCAGGTAAACATAGACAAGACGGAGGTTATGAAAATAACCAACCAACAACAGCAGCAACATCCAACGTCAATCACCATCAACGGGAGGGATTTGAAAGAGGCTACTTCATTCACTCACTGATCTAGGGAGCATTGTCTCAACTACAGGAGGAGCGGACGAGGATGTCAAATCGAGCGAGAATCGGGAAGGCGAGAGACACATTCATCAACCTGAAATCAATCTGGAAATCTTCGTCACTCAGCCAGCATCAACAACAAAATTCGGTCAGATTTTCAATACAAACAGAGTCAAGTCAGTCAGTTCTTTTATACGGAACGGATCAGAAACTTGGCGGGCGGGTCACAAAGAATATTTCCAAAAGGCTGCAGACCTTTATTAACAACTGTCTTCGCTCAATACTGAAGATCAGATGGCCGGAAAGAATCACCAACAAGGAATTATGGGAATAAACAAAGCAAGAACCAATCGCCAACCAACAAATATGCAGGAGAAAGTGGAGATAGATCGGACACTCGCTGAGGAGACCGCTGGGTGACATCGCGCGCCAAGCCGTCGAGTGGAACCCGAAAGGGAAGCGGCGTGTGGGGCGTCAGTGCAAGGGTGACATGGAGGAGATCGTGTGAAGAGGAGTTGAAAGAATATGGATTAACATGGCTGCAGGCGAAAAGTATAGCAGAAGACAGAAGAAAACGGAGACGTGCAGTTGAAGCCCTATGTTCCACTAGGAACCCAAGGGAGCAATAATAATAATAAAAATAAAGTGAGGGGGGAGTATATAGCTGTTGATGGAAGACCTTCCCCTCCTTCCTAGATTCTTGAAATCTCTCTCTCTCTCTGTGTTGTACTATAGTCATCTTTCTCACTTACTTGATATCCAGCTACGGATCACCAGAGGTGTCAGTTGCTCATCAGATCTCCCCATCATTCTCGGCGGGTGTGAGATATAACCGCTGAAAGTAGGGACTATATAAAGACACACTACTTACTGGATAAATTTAAATGTGAAATAAGATTCAAAAGGTTTTGTTAAATGTTTTACAACAAAGCAGTAAGTTGACCCATGGATACGGGTCAGAAACTTTGCATGAAACGAAAAAAGATTTCCAACTTTCATTAACAACTGTGGCGGACCTTAGACTCTGCTAGCTTAATATCCGAAATTCGAATAGAAATTAAAAAAAGAAATTACCAAATCTGTAAAGTTGTTGAGGTTATTACAAGGTCCAAATCCACAATTTAACTTAGTAGACACCAGGAGTATTGTGCAAGGTCTGCTCCAGTCTTAATTCTGATCCAGTATCAATATTGCCATACGTCGGCCAAGGTAATGTTGGAAGAAAATACGGTGTTCCTGCGAAATTTTCAAATAAAAGGTAGGTAATTAGAATTAGCCAATAGCATTTGAGATGGTGGAGAAGATGGATAGATGTAGGCAGAACTATATTTTTTCTTTCAAACAACAAGGTTAAGTACAAAGTACAGAGATTCTGGTTAAAACAAAGGAATTGACGTCGTACACAAACCAACAAAGTCGCTGCACTCAATTCTATGTCAACCAAAAGACTCAACAGCGAAAGAAGATAAAACCAACATCATCTACAAAATAAACTGTAACAACTGCGGAAAACACTACATCGGCCAAAGTGGACGTCCCCTTCGTCTTCGTATCCACGAACATAAGCTAGCCGTCAAAAGACATGATATCCACTCCCTCATTTCACTACACACAGACAACTACGGACATCAATTCGACTGGGACAACCAACTTTCAAATATTAGACAAAGGAAATAACAAGAATGCTAGAGAATTTTTAGAAGCTTGGCATTCCAGTGAATCATCAATCAATAGACACATCGAGATAGACAAAAGTTATCAACCAATAAGAAAGAAACTTCACACACAAAGGGTCAAAGTTCAAGTCAAAGAAACAACCGGTTCCAATGCAAGTAACCTAGAAGGTGTGAAAACACACACAAACAACCAATCACGTCCAAGGTCACCAGGAGGGATGATTTATAAACTCGTGGAGAAATCTAAAAGCTCACTTCAATTCAAATTGAAGTATGCACTGAAGATGTCACCCAGTAGGGTGATGAAAGCTTCGCAAACTAACCATCCAGCTCAGAGAACAAAACCACATCAAAAACAAAGTAATGTACAATATGTTCATTTCTCACATAGTAGTAAAAGTTGGGTTTAGTTTATTTTTGAGGACTCCACACAGAGCTGCCTTCACTCCGTACTGAAGATCAAATGACCAGGAAAAAAATTTAGCAATAAGAAACTCTGACTGGCGACAAATCAACAGGCGAGAGCCGATTGTTCAACAAATATGTAAGAGAAAATGCAGATGGATTAGGCATACATTGAAGAAACCGTCAAATGACATCACGCACAATGGAAGCCATACATTGAGTAGAATCTAAATGGGAAGCGATGGGTGGGTTGTCGGTGAGAGGGTGACATGGGGGGGGAGATCGTGTGGCGAGGAGGAAGAGGAGGAGATGAGAGATTATGGATAGTCGTAAGGCTAGCCAGAACAATGCGGAGATATGTTGTTTGAAGCCCCAATGTTCCACAGCAGCAGCAGGTAAACTTATATTATTAGGCTTGTCCGATAACAATAAAAATTAGTCAGGTTAACTGTTGTAGGAACATTTAAAAAATGTGATGAGTAATCAAATTGTAACTAAGGTTATTGGGAATGAAGATTAGCAAGGGGGTAGTAGTAGTGATATGTTGTCAAAAAAAAAGCATAAGAGAAGTTGAAAAAGTGTATTGCAGTTACGTAATAAGATGAATGGTTTAGTGAGTTGTGATTGGGATGTACATAGAAACAAAGGAAAATATGGGATTCTGTGAGACTTCTATGTGCATATATCAGTTCACTTGTTACTGTAAAGCCAGGTACATCGATCGTTTGACTCGTATCCTGTCCAAAAGGGGTTCAAGAACACTCATTCGCACGTCTGCAAAAAGGTAAAAGGTGGCTGTATGAGGAGTGCAATCATTGAACATCTCGTCACCACTGGTCATTCCATCTCAACAAACGTTTCATCCTTCAAAATGATCTACAAATTAAGGAATAACCTACCAAAAGCAATATGCTCTCGTCTCCTTTGTATTGCTGAAGCCTTAGCTCTCAGCACGAATACAGGGGGCTCGTTTCGCATTTGCCAGTTTACGCCGACTCTGTCGTAGACGAGATGTTTGACTATCGATCAAAGGGCGGGTCTACTGCTCATCAGTCCGCTCCGTCCTCCTTTATGGTTGTGAGACCTGGCCACTGAGAGTGGAAGACATGAAAAGACTAGCTGTCTTTGATCATAGGTGCCTGCGTTCTATTTCCCGTGTAAAGTGGCATAATAAGGTGAGCAACATGGAGGTTAGGCGTAGAGTTCTAGGTAAACAGGGGAAATCAATCGACGAAGTCATGAAGCTACAAAGACTGAGATGGTTAGGACATGTGTTACGTATGCTCAGCCTAGTCATCGCCTCCCTCGACGAGCAATGTTAGCGGATATAGGGTCAGGCTGGAAAAAAGCTAGCGGTGGTCAAACAAAAACTTGGCACCAGTCAATGAAATCCACACTAGTTGGTCTAAGCCACGTAGGAAGGTGTAGACTTCCCAACTGGTTGGGGTCCTCGGGACGGTAAAAATCTATGGTTGGAAACAATTGGTGACATGGCTCAAAATCGTTCTCAATGGCTGGCTAGCGCAGATGCATCCACTCCTTGTGACTTATGATCTTCAATGAAACTGTTTTGTATTTCTTTATTACTCCTTTGTCTCACACCTCTGCTCACTGTTTCTATTATGCTTTTCTTGTACTTTCTTCTCTTGCTCCGCGTGCTACACGGAATGTGGCGACTTGAACTTCCGCACATTTGTGCAAATTTTATGTCGAAAACAGACAGACAGACAGAAGCCTTAGCTATTCAATTAGAAAAACCAGAGTTATGTGTACAAAAGAAATTCATCCAACCACTTCTATTCTCATGGTAACAACCGTGTATGACTTCTACTGACTTGGTATTTGTGTGCTTGTTTGTTTTTTTCGAACTCCTTAAAACATTTGTAATTTTTAGAAGCCTAAAATAATTTTCCTGTGTTTCTATGTGCGTCCTAATCACAACTCACTCACTAGACTAATCATGGTATTACGTAACCGCATCACTCCTGTTCAACTTCTTTTATGTGTTAATAAATATATTTTTGACAATGCGTCACCACTACCCTCTTAGTAATCTTCACCCTCCCCCGTGGTTACAGTTTGATTCCTCACCACATTTTTGAAATGTCTTGACAACAACAACAACAACAACCCTAACTTATTTATATTCTTATCGGACAAACCTAATGTACACACACACACATACATACATACAAAAACAAGTATATATGTTTGCATATGTACAGCTAAGTGATTGAATTCACCGCTGAAGAAAGAGACTCTTCGCTGAACTTCGTGTTTTGTTATCAATAATGTCTGGATGAGGATTATTCATGAATATCACTAACTGTCTCCAGCTGTCATTGAGTTTTACCATTTTGAGAACTCCAACCAGCCAGAAAGTCTACACCTCCGTAGGCAGCTGGTTTAAACTAACCGTTGTCGATTTCATCGACTGATGAAGCTATTTTTTTTGTGTAACTATCATCACTAGCTAACTCTTTTCCAACCTGATCAATAATCCTATGTAAGCTATCTGTCTGTCTGTTTTCGACATAGAACTTTGCACAAATGTGCGGCAGTTCAAGTCGCCACAAAAGCTATCACAGCTCGATAACGAACGAAGTGGCTTGCGCTGAATAACACATGTCCTAGCCCCATCTCAGTCGATATATCTTAACAACCTAACATTCTACGTCTAATCAAAATCATACTTACCATGTTTTTTACCACTTAACATGGGAGATAGGGCACCTTCGAGTCTGAGGGTTTTTGAAATATATTCAGATAAACAAGTAGATGACCAATTTTTTGTTCATGAAATACTTTAAAATCTTTCTATCCTCCATCTACCAGTGAACATTGACCCCCCGTCGACGAAATCAGAAGTCCTGAATGCCATCAAGATGCTTAAAGCTGGGAAAGCACCAGGACCAGATGGAATCCCAGCAGAAGCTTTGAAAATAGACCCAGAGACAACAGCGGACTTGATGACGCCACTGCTGGAGAAGGTGTGGAGAGAGAGGGCAAAGTATCCGAGGATTGGAAGAACGGATACTTATTCAAACTACCAAAGAAAGGAGACTTAAGTCAATGTAAAAACTGGCGTGGAATTATGCTCCTATCCATCCATACCAAGCAAAATCCTAAGCCGCATCATCTTGGAGAGAGAATCAAACAAGCCCTGGATCAAAAACTTCGACCGGAACAGGTCGGATTCAGGAGAAACAAGTCATGTATTGATCAAATCGCCACTCTACGGATCATCATTGAACACAGCTTGGAATGACAGTCACCTCTCTATCTCAACTTCATCGACTTCGAGAAGGCCTTCAACAGCGTCGATCGAGAGTTCATTTGGCAACTACTTCGCTACTACGGGGTCCCATCGACAATTATACATCTCATCCAACACTTAGTTATACGACAATGCTGCTTGCCAAGTAATCCACAACGGGAAACTTACGGAAGCCTTCGAAGTGAGGACGGGAGTGAGGCAAGGCTGTCTACTCTCACCAATGATCTTCCTGATTGCAATCGATTGGATAATGCGACAGACAACGGCAACCAACGAGGGAACAGGCATAAAATGGACTGACACAAAAGACTTGGAGGATCTGGATTTCGCCGATGATATATGTCTGATTTCCCACAAACTGGAAGATATGCAAGTGAAAAGTAACAAGTTGGCAGAAGAAGCATCCAGAGAAGATAGGACTTCAAGTGAACATAGATAGAACAGAGGTGATGAAGATTCCTAGCCAACATCAACAACAACAACAGACAACAATCTGCATAAATGGGAGGAACCTGAAAGAAACAGCCTCCTTCATCCACCTAACTAGCTACCTGGAAGGCATCGTTTCAACTATGGGCTGAAGGAACTGATGAGGATATCAAAGAGAGGATGTGGAAAGCGAGGCAAGCTTTCAGCACTCTCAAGTCTGTGTGGAGGTCAACAATCAGCACTCAGTATCAAAAATAACATGCGGATTTTCAACTTCAATGTCAAGTCATTCAGTGCTACTTACTATACGGATCAGAGACTTGGAGCGTCATAAAGGGCATCTCAAACAAACTTCAAACCCTCATCAACAGTTGTCTTCGCTCAATACTCAAGATCAGATGGCCGGGCAGAAAAGATCAGCAACAGGGATCTCTGGGAGCGAACCACCACAGCGGGAATCGATTGTGAAACAAATATGCAGGAAGAAATGGAGATGGATTGGCCATACACTGAGGAAACCATCAAGTGACATCACTAGACAAGCCATCGCTCAAGTGGAACGCGAAAGGGAGGCGGCGAGTTGGTCGTCCAAGAGTGACTTGGAGGAGGTCATTCGAGGAGGAGATGAAGGCATGTGGACAGACCTGGAGCGGGGTGAAAAAGTTGTCAGAAAACCGAAGGCAATGGAGGTGCGCAGCTGAAGCCCTATGTTCCTCTAGGAACTAAAGGATACAATAATAATAATAATAATAATCCTCCATCTCCTTCCAGGATAAGTTCCATCGTCGATCTCTTTTAAATAATTGTTCTTATGAATGTTTTGTTTTTTTATTTTGTCTTTATTCCTATCAGTTATTCAGCTTTTCTTACCTACCATTTGTTCTAATTTATAACTTTCAGTGTTACAGTTGGTACCCTCAAAAATTTTGAAGAGACATCGTGTTTAAGACAGATAGACTTCAGTGAATCAGCTCGTAAGTATTCTGTTTCTCTTAATTATGCCTTTCATCAGTGTATTCATTGTAATGTTTATTTTATAATCTTTGATAAATTCTCTTCTTGATCTTATATATGTTATTGTTACAACAAGAAGCATAACATGTATTCTCGGTATCAGGTTAGAGATAACAAGATGAGATCAAGTATTGTCTTGCAGGGATTTGATTGATTGCTAACAGGATTTCATCATGAGTTGATAGAACCATTGGATAAATCACCATCAGAGAGTACTGGACATCTGTTTCGTCTTAGTCCCGGGACTCTTCATCAATACGCACCCACCGAAGCTCAGACTCAGCAGGACCTTCTGGTTACGAGTCCAGCTTATAGATCATTAAGCCATTGGAACCTGATCCGATCGCCCATGAATTCCAACTTCTGCCACTTCACGACTTAGCGCGACTACTAGCCAATGTCTTTGAGGAGGTATTTGTCCTCACACTTGACCTGCTGCAGCATCCTACTGGTCACAACGTCCCACTAAGAACCCCTAGGTAACTGCCCACCTGAAAAGGTCAAGTCGCTAGTAAGCGCATATCATTGATATTCAAGTATTGGTGTGTGGGGTTTTTAATTAATTGGTCCAGTACTCCCAGGTTTTCCAATGATTCTCTAACTGATGTCAGCTCATGATGAAATCCTGTAACCGAGATGATATCAGCTAGAGTACCGGCAATCTGATATATCTAGGTTCAAATTAACAAATTAAATCGACCTAGTACTCACTAGTAACTGGTTGTAGGATGACGATGTCCAGGGTTCTAGTAAAAAGTCGCTAGCAGTAGAGAATCTATGAAATTGCTTTTGAGGACAATTACTCACCAACGACAGTGGCTTTTTCTTCTCGGATTCTTCTTCTCTTGTGAATTTGATATCGTTGAAGACGTTGTTTATTAAGTTGTGAGTTTTATCTAACTCGTCTCTTTTGGTTATTACAAATGTGTCGTCTACATAACATATCCAAATCTTGGTTCTGATCTTTGGTAGGATCATGTTTTCGAGCCTTTACATCACTGAACTACTTCTGCAATCAAACCTAATATTGGAGATTTCATGAGTGTCCCTTTGACTTGCTCACATACACTTGGCCGTTGAATTGGAAGTACGTTGTTAGCCATAGGTTCATGTATTCCATCCAGATTGTGTTAATTAATCATCTCTCCTGGAGAAATCTAAAAGCTCACTTCACTTCAAGTTGAAGTATGCGCTGAAGATGTCGGCTAGTAGGCTGATGATGAAGGCTTCGCAAATTAACTAGCCAGCTAGCTCATACAACACAACCACATCAAAATCATCCACCCGATCTACAAATCGTCTCTATCATATCTAAGGTGAGGTAAGTTGAGCATCTATACAACAAACTGACTATCCGTAAGATAGATGATTAGAAGTAGTCAGCATTGGCTGCAGAATTTTTTCTATTTGTTGGCAATCTTTACAACATAGTGTGTATCTCTACAATCTCAAAGGGAATTAAGACTCCTAACAGAATGGAACCCGCATTACCCAGTGTGTCTCAATAAAAGACATCACCGGGACTGGCGTGGATTTGAAATCTCTGAAGGGTTACTAGTTTTTTTCAACACTGCATATACTGGATGATGAGAATTGTATACACGGACTACTGATTTCAATCAATAAGTAGTATATATTTCATTATGCGTTTCTGCCTTCCTTTCTTGATTACTATTCATAATATCAAATGCATCTGAATAATTTCGGTTCCTAAAGGAAACTATGATAACATTTCACACCGAACTGAGTGATAATGCGTCTACGGCAAGAAATATGTGAGTCCACAGTTCAGTGGTAGAACGCGCTCGCCAACCACACCTCATATTGGTCGGGTTTCGATTCCCGACAGGAGCATTCCTAAACCTCGTTTAGTTTACTAGTTGATGATACACTGAGGAAGGGCAAATAGGACTAAAACTAGAAATCCCAACCGTAAAAAGGCAATACCACTGCAACTGAAATTGGAAAAATCTGGTGTACAAGCTCGACAGAACAACCAAAAGAACAAATCTAAATTCACAGTGACTTTTTAAATAAATATATATTCCAGAAAGAGGTAAACGACGCTGAGAAGTTTCAAGAGTTACTGTACAGGAATTAGGTTGGTTTCAAGCCAGGTCACAAGCTGACATAGATTGTGGAGAATCAATAAAAATCAGCAGTGATAGTAGACAATTGTTCTATCCTTAACTGGGACTCTTTAGTGGCAGGCATCTACCACGCATCCGATGACCTTTAAGGTGATTAGGTCAGCCTATTAACCGTTCAGTCGATTGAGGCACGAAATCGGATGGCTGAAGAATTCTAACACTTCTGTCAATTTTTGTTATATGGTGCCACTATCAGATATGACAGAGACGATTTTTAGATCAGGTGGATGATTTTGATGTGGTTGTGTTCTATGAGCTAGCTGGCTAGTTAATTTGCGAAGCCTTCATCATCAGCCTACTAGCCAACATCTTCAGCGCATACTTCAACTTGAATTGAAGTGAGCTTTTAGATTTCTCCAGGAGAGATGATTAATTAACACAATCTGGATGGAATACATGAACCTATGGCTAACAACGTACTTCCAATTCAACGGCCAAGTGTATGTGAACAAGTCAAAGGGACACCCATGAAATCTCCAATATCAGGTTTGATTGCAGAAGCAGTGCAGTGATGTAAGGGCTCGAAAACATGATCCTACCAAAGATGAAAACCAAGATTTGGATATGTTATGTAGACGACACATTTGTAATAACCAAAAGAGACGAGTTAGATAAAACTCACAACTTAATAAACAACGTCTTCAACGATATCAAATTCACAAGAGAAGAGGAATCCGAGAACAAAATCCCATTTTTGCGGGTAAGTCAAGCGAACAACTACAGGGAATTAGGAACTCAAGTTCATAGAAAATCAACTCACACAGACTAAATCCTGAATTATAACAGCAACAAACGAGTTTTATACAAACAGTATTCAAGAGAGCCAGCCAGCCGGGACTCTTTGCAGCACTCTCACCTTAAGGAATATTGAAGAGAGATATCTCGTGGACCTTTTCCGAAAGAATGGATGGATAATCACGGAATTTCATCACTTCCAAGCCAACATATCAAACGAAAAGCCACCAAGGAAAGCACAAAGAAAATCGCCTTATCATTTATAAAGGACATCTCAGAAATCACTGCAGGACTCTTCACACGTGTAGGAATTGACGTCGTACACAAACCAACAAAGTCTCTTCACTCAATTCTTTGTCAACCAAAAGACTCAACAGAGAAAGAAGATAAAACCAACATTATCTACAAAATAAATTGTAACAACTGGGAAAAACACTATATTAGCCAAAGTGGACGTCCTCATCGTCTTCGTATTCACGAGCATAAACTAGTCGTCAAAAGACATGACATCCACTCCCTCGTATCGCCTTACTGCATACAGACCACCACAGGCATCATTTTGACTGGGACAACCAACTTTCAAATATTAGGCACCAAGAATGCTAGGGAAATTTTAGAAGTCAGCCTGGTATTCCAGTGAACCATCAATCAATAGGCACTCCGAGATAGACAAAATGTACCAATCGATAAGAAGGAAATCTTACACACACACAAAAGGTCGAAGTTCAAGTCAAAGAAACAATCAGTTCCAATATAGGTAACCTAGATGGTGTGAAAACACAAAAACAACCAATCAAGTCCTAGGTCATCGGGAGTGATGATTACTAAACTTGTGGAGAAATCTTAAAGCTCCCTTTGACGAATTGAATTATGCGCTGAAGAGGTCGCGTTGCAGGGCGATGAAAGCTCCGCAAATTAACTATCCAGCTGCTCAGAGAGCACAACCACATGCAAATCACCTCATCTTGTAGAACCTGTAAAATTTAATGTTTTTTCCCTAGTTTCTGTTATATTTTTGCACTATTTTTATTTGTCTGAAATGATGAAGAGGGCTGTGTGATTACATCAAATAGGATGTGTTCATCGGTGGCACAGCGGTTAGGACGCTCTCCGACCGTGCACATGGTCCAGGGTTCAATCAGCGGCCGACACAGCACTCTTTTACCTCAATAAGGCAGAAATAATGCTGGTTAAGAGGAAAGGTTGGGCATGAGGCTGGCTAGCAACGCCATCCTGTAAAAATAATCACTGCTTTAGACACTTCAAGCCCCTAGCTTGAAGGCGCCATATGTTCCACCGAGGAGCGTGAAGGAAAAAAAGGTTGTTGATTCAGATAGTGGATTTATTTCTATTTCTTTGTGTTCTTTGGTGGTTTGGGTGGCTAGCACCACGCTCCTTTTCAACCTTTCCTCATTAATCTTTCCTGGACTACTCAAGAAAGACTTTGCTTTTCTGAGAAGGGCACTAAAAGCCATTAGTAGGGCAAGTGGGATACCGTTAAACCAACTGGTTAACACTATTGTGGATAGACATATTATATCATGTAAGAAACTAGCGAATACAATATTGTGGAACCCCGAGCATCCTCTCTATACGCAGCTGTCTCCTTGCATTTCATCTGGTAGAACTAGAAGCAGCTATAGGCGGCTATATGCTAAGACCACCAAATACAAAAACTCCACAATACCTACCATATCTGGCGCAGCTGTTATGTGATGAGAAATACGTTAGGTACGACACGATCAACTTACTGCGGCACTCTAACAAATAGTCCCATTAGTTTTTGTTTTCCTTTCTTCGTTACTATTACACTGTTGTTCACATCTTCTATCACACATCAACTCTATATTTCATATCCTGTGGTGCATTCTTTGAAATGTAAACTCTACGCTGTTTTTAATTTTTATTTATCTTATATTTTTTTTAGCGTTGGTTTTTATTTATTTTTGATTTTAAAAATCTTCTATAATTTATGAGGTAATTAGATGCAATATACCATAATGCACGCTGAAAATTCCATATCTGTACCACAAATACCGTTTGGAATTAGAATGTTATTATTATTATTAAACGAAGACTATGTCAGAAAGCATTATTCATAATTTTGATAACCAGGTTTTGTAAGGATTTTGGCGGTGAAAAATGTGAATTCCGTTACGAATCGATATCAGTTAGAGGAACGTTGAAAGTCAGAGTGAGCAGTTGACTCTCTGTTTCTACCTACCTTCGGACTCTTCAACAGTACGTACGCCCTGACGGCCCTCACTAGGCGTTAAACTTGGTACCTTCAAGCTACAAACCAAACCATTTTAGTCAGTCTGTTAGCATCTGTGAATTGAACTTCGATTATTTCATGAGGACAACATCACTGACAACCAATAGCCACTCTTGATGATGTAAGTATTATAAAACTTGGCCACTGTGGTGCCAGAGTATAACTCCAGGATGGATAAGATTTTATTTTGACAAACTGTCACACAGTGTTGTTATACGGTAATATTAACCGATGGACGACCATATTTCGAGCACAAATTGTTAGTGCTCATAATCATATCAAGGCAGTCACAGAACTTTCTTGCTTCATTTATATACATGAGTAAAAATGGATGACTAGACATTTGTATATTCATAAATAATAACAATAATAATAATAATGAGTGTTATCAATCAAATACAATCAGATGGGAAATAAGACGAGTGTTTTTATAGTCAAAATAAGTAACTTGTTAGAGTGTTATTATAATGTGAATTGAATACATTTTAACATTATTTATTAATTTAATTGGGTTTACCAAAACAAAATAATATAATTTCCAAAATACCTCGCAATGATTATGAGATCAACTACATACGTCAAACTAAATAGGTCGGGAGTAGTCAGATTGTCTCAATATAAGAATTTAGTTAAGTGTAAAATGATTGACACCGTGATGTGACACTCAGCACTGCATGCAAAAACACACAACCACACAATAAGGTGGGTAGGAGAGGGTTACAATTCTAAGAAGTAATATAACTAGACGGAGAGTGAGAGAGGTTGATTACTGAATCCAGCCTGGTTCATCGACTCCAACTTCACCCAACACAACACAACACATGCAACAGAAATGACACAAGGCAAATACCAGTAATATGGAAGGTATTATTACCACCCGTTAGTCGAATCAGAGGAGGATAATAAATAATATCAAAATTCTATTTCAATTCACATACATCATAACACTCTAACAAGTTACTTATTATTATGACTATAAAAACACTCGTCTTATTTCCCATCTGATTGTACGTGATCAATAACACTCGTATTATTATTATTATTATTATTATTATTATTATTATTATTATTATTATTATTATTATTATTATTATTATTTCTGAATGTACATTATCTCATAGTGAATTTTATTCCAATATCTTAGTCAATTCCACTCATGCATATAAATGAAGCAAAACATTTTGTGAGTGAGTGACTTGATATGATTATGAGTGGCAATAATAATTTGTGCTCGAAACGTGGTCATCACTTAGTATTACTGTATAAAACTATACTGTGTGATTTATTAAAATAAAATCTTATCCATAATAAAGCACACTCCTAATGAATATTTACTTCACATCTGTAACCATAGGTGGTTGTGATGTTTTCTTTAGAACTACCGTGTTCTTCTTTAGCCGATATCGATTCATGACCAAAATCTCTACTGAAATATTCACAAATGTATTTGTGCCGGAAGGATCTTGAGTTTCAACAGACAGATTTTATGTCTGTCTGGCTATTATACAAATTACTCCTGTATCTTCTTCTATTGTCTTCATTTATTTTTATCATTGTTATTGCCTTTCCTTTTCTATCTGCACTCAACAGAAGCTTTACTTCAACGAGCTAGAGAAATGAATACTGGTCAGTCATTACGGCGTCGATTAGCTTCAAGTATACGTCCGGATGGATTAACACCATATGGATCAGATGAGAATTCATTGAATGTTTTATCAATGAGTGGTGGTACTGGCTACGGTGGCGGCGGCGGCGGTAATACTGCCGATTATCCAAGTCCAGTGTTTACTGGTGCGTCATCCCCAGTCATATCTGAACAGGATAGTTTTGAACGGCATAGTATGCGTCGTAAATCTATGGCATTAGCACATGCTGTTTCGTTGGATTTATTCAATCGTGATACAGGTAAGCAGTAATTAAATTATAATGAATTAAATTAAACTGATACATTTATCTTATTATTATTGTTCCCTTGGGTTCCTAGTGGAACATAGGGAACGCTTCAACTGCACGTCTCCACTTGCCACTTCTGTCTTCTGCTGCTGTACGTTTCACCTGCATCCATCCATGTTAGTCCATACTGTTTCAACTCCTCTTCACACGATCTCATCCTCCATGTCACCCTTGCACTGACGTCCCACTCGCCACCTCCCTCCCTTTCGGCCTGGTTCCACTCGAGCAATGGCCTGACCAGTGACCTCCTCAGCCACGAGTGTCCAATGTGTCATCTCCACTTTCTCCTGCATATTTGTTGGTTGGCGATTGGTTCTTGTTTTGATTGTTCCCAGCCATAGTTTCTTGTTGATGATTCTTTCCAGTCCGGCCATCTGATCTTCAGTATAGATCCAGTGAAGCCAGTTGTTGATAAACTTCTGCAACAGGCTGTTAGTTGGAAATATCCTTTGTGACGTGCCAAGTTTCTGATCCGTATAGAAGAACTCACTGACTTGACGCTGTTTGTATTGAAAATCCGACTGAATTTTGTTGTTGATGCTGAGTGACGAAGATTTCGAGATTAGTTTCAGGTTGATGAATATGTTTCTTGCTCGCCTTCCCGATTGTCGCTCGATTTGACATCCTCTTCCGACTGCTTGTAGTTGAGACAATGCTCCCTAGATAAGTAAGTGAGTGAAGTAACATCTTTCAAATCCCTTCCGTTGATGGTGATTGGCGATGGATGTTGCTGCTGTCGTTGTTGTTGTTAGTTGGTTGGTTGGTTGGTTATTTTCGTAACCTCCGTCTTGTCTTTGTTCACCTGGAGTCCTGTCTTTGCTGTGGGGTAATACACATGTTAGCATTCCCGAACTCTGCATGCACACAGAAGAAGTTTGTTCAGTCATTAAATCTTCAACGGACCTGATCTATCTTAACACAAAATACGTAATTTTTGTGTTTTTTGTTTGGTAATTGTAGTATTTTCTTCCCTTACCCCCTTATTGCCACACTCTTATTAACTTGACTTTCGTTCATATTTTGTTTGAATTCTATTCGACCCCGTCAGTTATACTGCGTCACTCAATTTATTTATTTTACTGAATTGTAGTTTCCACGTGATGATTAACGCTTTCTACATTACGTAATTGGTTACAAAAGTCTTTGTATTTCACAGTGAATGAAGAGACAATACCATGTGTCTGATGATCCACAACGGAAAATTCAGCAAGGCGTTCGAAGTGAGTACAGGAGTAAGACAAGCTGGTTGCCTGCCTATTATCATCATGGGTGATATTCCTAATTGTTGTGGTGGACTGGATTATGCATCAGACTGTGTGGCTGGTGGTGGGAGTGACAAGATAGAAATACATATTACAATGACCAATAAGAAGACTCTAAAAGATCTGAATTTCGTGTGTGGATGATTTATTTTTAATGTTACACAAACTCGAATACGTGCAGGCAGGCAGGCGAAAACCAACAAATTGACTGAAGTCAGTCTGTCAGTCAGTGAAGACTGGACTTTAGGTGAACATAAAGATTAGCACCAACGGACTGATTGGCGACGAAATCTCACCACGGATCCGAAAAGCTCGAGCTGCTTTCGCTGACCTACACCATCTCTGGCGTAAGCGTGACATCCGGGTATCAACCAAGGGACGTGTGTACTGCTCAGAAGTTCGCTCCGTCCTTCTCTATGGCTCTGAAACATGGCCAATACGCATTGAAGACATGAAAAGGTTGACTGCTTTCGATCATAGATGTCTGCGATCTCTGTTTCACGTTAGGTGGTTTAATAAGGTAAGTAATGTTGACGTTAGGCGTAGAGTGTTGGGCAAAGAGGGAAAATCAATCGACGAAGCTATAAAGTTACATAGATTGAGATGGCTAGGTGACGCGGTGCGCATGCCTATCACCGCCCCCCCCCCGCCGACGGGCATTACTAGCTGATATAGGTGCAGGTTGGAAAGGATTAAGTGGTGGCCAAACAAAAGCATGGCCTCATCAATCCCTGAAATCCTCGACAGTTAAACTGAGTCAGGTAGGGTAGGAGATGCAGACTTCCGGGTTGGGGCCCTCGGGACTCTAGGAATCAATGGCTGGAGACAATAGGTGACATGGCTCAAAGTGATCGTTGTCAATGGCCAGCGCAGATGTATTCAGTCTCTGTAATCTTTCATATTCCTTTCTACCATTACCCATTCTGTTTCACTGTTATACTTGTGAAATCTCTATTGATTCTCTTCACTCATCTTCTTGTATACCTCTGTGTGCTATTTGGAACGTGGCAAGTTGAACTGGTGCACTTCGGTGACAAGTTATATGTTGAATCCAGACAGACAGACAGAACATAAAGAAGATGGAGGTAATGAAAATAACCAACCACCAACAACAACAACCAGCACCTACCACCATCAACACGAGAGAGAGATATAACAGAGGCTGCTTTCTTCACTTATTTAGGCAGCCACTATCATTAATTCAACCACAGGCAGTCGGACGGATGAAAATGTCAAAGCCAGCCAGGCAGAATTGGAAAGGCAAGATACGCCTTCATCAACTTGATGAAACCAGTTTGGAAGTCTTCTGCACTAACTCAGCATAAACAATAAGATTCGTCCGGATTTTCAACACCAATGTTAAGGTGGATGCCCGGCGCTCTTCACCGGGTTGACTGTCCACTGGATGACAGTCTAGGGGAGATGGCTAAACCCTGATTCCAAACCTCCAACGACTGGCGTATGAAGCTCACCGGCAGACGTATGGACAAAGGGCTTATTGGATGCCCTGGATGACTGGACCCATTCAAAAAGGCGTGTGAACCGGACTCCGGTCACCGGCTACCAATGGATAGTGGACTTACTACTCCACTCCTACTGCTTTGTAGGTCACACTTGGCTGTGTAAAGGCTAGAGCTGCACTCTCAAACAAAAGGCCGAGCGATGCTGGGGGGACATCACTCGTACCTAATTCCCATGAAACTTCATGAACTCTCTACAACATCAACCAAATTCCAGTACTGATCCAACAACGTCGCCTTCGGTGGTTTGGCCATGTTCTGCGCCGACCAGATGACGATCTGGTCATATCAGTTCTAAATCCCTCGCCATTTCCATCTTGACAATGTCGCAGGGGTGGACAGCTGAAAACATGGCTTGGTACAGTCAAGGCTGATATGGAGTGCCTACAAACCGTCTACAGACTCCGTCTGTGGAACAAGAATTGGATAACCCTGTCGCAAAACCTTGCATCAGATGGCCGCGTCTGGGCAGCGATGATTCGAGATGTTCATGAAGCCGGCTCATCCTCCCGTAGGAGATAGCCGAAGTAAAGTAAAGTAAGTAGGTCGGTCAATGCTTCTTTCTATATGGGTCAAAATCTCGAACTGTGTGTCACGAAAAGGATTACCTACAGCTTGTTGCAGACTTTCATCAACAGCTACCCCCTTCTCTGGCTGGCTGACTGGCTCCTTACCGAAGATCGAATGGCCAGGAAGGATAAGTAACAAGAAACAAACAAACAAATCAAGAGCACCGGCATTGTGCACGAAGTCACTCGACAGCCTCCTTAACGTATGCTCGATCCATCTCAATTTTCTCCTACATATTTGCTGAGCAATCGGCTCTTGGTTGGTTTGTTCCCAGCCATAGTTTCTTGTTGCTGGCCATTTGGTCTTCAGTTCTGAGCCAGCCAGAGAGGGGGGCAGCTGTTGATGAATGTCTGCAACACGCCGTGCAATTTTCTGACCCATATTAGAAGGACTGACTGACTTCACGTTTGTGTTGAACAGAATCTGAATCTTGTTGTTTTTACTGACCGGCTGTCTGAGTGAAGTGCAAAAGATTTCCAAACCGGTTTTTAGGTTGGTGAAAGTGTTTCTTGCCTTCTCGCTTTCCCTGGAAAATATCACTCATGTAATGTAGTAAATAACTTCCCACTAGAATTTATTCAGAAATGTATTAAGAACCATAGAAAAAATATATTAGTAATAAAAATGACAAAAATAATAAGATGTACCATGAATGTAAAAACTTCACATTTGACGGCACGCTTTACAGGCAAGTGGACGGAATGGCTATGGGCTCCCCATCGGGTCCCATTCTGACTGATTTCTTTCTAAGTAAACTAAAAAATGAACCTTTGAACAACCAGCTTATCAGTAAGCTCTCATTTTATTGCCGATATATGTGGATGATACCTTTATTCTTTGTGATAATGGTTCTGATAAGAGTTACAATAATTACTGAATTCAATGAAATACATTCCGCTATGAAATTCATATGCGAAGAGGAATCCCAAGACCGAATGAATTGCCTTTTTGGATGGCCTACTTACAAGTGAAACAAGATGGTAGCATAAAAAGAAATTTGCATAGAAAAAGTACCTGGACAGGACAATATACACATTTTGCATAGCTTCATTCCTCTCCAGTACTAAAAGAAATCTAGTAAAGACCCTCGTCCACAGGGTTAGAGCTATATGCTCAGAAGAAGTAACTGAAGATAAACTAAGCATTGTATATGATACTTTGATCGAAAATAGCCATCCCGACAAATTTATCAAGAAACACGTGACAAAGAAAGTGGAAAAGGATTACTCACTATCCGTAAACAAGAAGCCACTTTATATTTACGACTACAATTCAACGGCGATCGATATACCAAGTGAGATAATTACGAGGAAATTAAGAAAATTAGTTCAAAGAACTTTTAATACTGGCAAACTGCAGGTCTTATTCTCTACAAGACCGATGGTCCTACCTCGACTGAAAGATGAAGTACCTAGGCTAGCTGGCCACTTCCAGTTGTATCTACCAATTCAACTGCTCTTGTGTTGGGGCGAGTTATATTGGCCGTTGCTCTAGGCACTTGATTTCCCTTGTTCGCTCGAGAACATCTCGCAGTATGGCTTAGTAAAACTGTAGTGAAAACCATCACCAACAGTTCGATATTAGACCACCTGACCCAAACCGGCCACAAAGCCAGCCAGCATTGAAAAAATCCTTCTATACCATCACTTATCGGGTACCAAATAAATTGCCAAAAACATCGAAGTACTGTATGCTCCAAACAGCAGAGGCTATTGTGATTCACTTGAAACAACCAGTGTTTTGTGTGCAATAGAAGCAAGTTCAGCTAGCCACTACTGCTACCGCCCTTGCCGGCCTTCAGTAGAGAGCATAAATTCATGAATTTGTATCATTATTTTTCCTAATTTTTCTGACATTCAGCTTATTTTATGTTGATGCTGTTGAACTGTAATCCATTGACATTATTATTATTATTATTATTGATTCGATGTTATTTAAACAGCAACCTTAATGTTGTTCATAACACTAATTCATTCATTCAATCACTATAATGTATATATAACTGTAGAGCCTGATGATGAAGGGGTTGTCGAAAAGAGTACTCTTTGTTCAGTATCCATTCTTTTGATAAAAATAATAGATAATAATAATAACAGTGCGTCGGTGGCACAGTGGTTGGGACTCTCGCCGACCATGCACATGGTCCAAGGATCGATTCCCCTGCCGACTCACACCTGATATCCATGTTTGGCCTGCAAAATTTGGGCTACCGATATCACATGCTGAAAATTCCATACTTGTACCAAAAATACAGTGTGAAATCAAGCTGTAATCAAAAATAAATTAAAATTAAAAATTAAACAATTCAAAGCTCTTGTAGGGCTGTTTTACACAGAATGAACATCAGAGGTCTTGCGTAAGGCTGGAATTAGTCAGGATGGCATTTAATAAACCAACCAACTAACCAACTCTCTCATAGATAAACTTTGTCGGCCTAAAGACTCGACAGATTCAATTAGGAAAGGTACTACCATATTTTATCAAACACCATGTAACTGACTATTGATATAAGTATAAAACTGGGGTACTATGGTAGAGCATAACTCCATTATAGATAAGATTTTATTTTGATAAATCACACAGTGTTATACAGTGCAGTAATATTTACCGCTGACCACGTTTCGAGCGCAAACTATAGCCATTCATAATCATATCAAGGTACTCACTCACACAAATTGTTTCTTTCATTTATATACATATATGGAATCGATTAGATATTGGAATTAAATTCAATATGGAATAATGTACATTCAGAAATAATAATAATACGAGTGTTACTGATCAAATACAATCAGATTGGACATAAGACGAGTGTTTTTACAGTCATAATATGTAACTTGTTAGAATGTTGTGATGTGTTTGAATTGAAATAGAATTTTGAGATTATTTATTATCCTATTCTGATTTGTCCTATGGTAGTAATATCTTTCATATTTCTGGTATTTGACTTGAGTCATTTCTGTTGCATGTGTTAAGTTGGGTGTAGACTCGATAAATAAGGATTCCGTAATCAACCTCTCTCTCCACCTAACCTATATTACTTTGTAGGATTTTAACCCTATCCCATCCTATTGTGTGGTTGTGTGTTAGCGCATGCATTGCAATTGCTGAGCTTTTTTCTAAATTACTTATCTTTTCAGAGTCAACCATTCTTCCCTTAGCTAAATTCCTATGTTCTGATAATCTGACTAACCCTGACCTACTAGTTTGACCTATGCAGTTGACCTTACAGTCATTGCGTGGTATTTTGTAAATTATATTATTTTGTTTAATTGGGTCAACCTATAGGGTCCTTTCATCTACAGAGCTTGTTCTACGGGAGTGAGTCTGTAGCTTTGAATGCCACCAGCCTAATTCCTGCTTTATTAAGAATCATAATACATAGGGTCTCAGATGCCCTCTCCTTATATGGTAAAACTGTAGATGACTTATATTCTCTCCTATTTATGTTATTATTACTAGTTTCACAATTATTTTTATTTTGTTTTTTGCCTTTACTGATCTACCTAATGAATTTTATAGGATAGTTATTTAACACCAACGCTTCTTCTCTCTGTTTTATTTCATCATTTAGGTCTTTTCTTGTGCTACTTAGTGCTACTGCTCGGTTTGTTTAGACACCCTTAACTTAGCCTGCTGTCACAGATAACGACGGATGAGGTGATGAATTAAAGTCTAAATATCTGTAAGATTGCCTTGGCTTTTAATAAACGCTAGTGTCTAGTTTACCTTCTTCTATTCGTTTTATTTTTACAATCTAACACCACAGTTGATTCTCCTTGTTCATTTTCCGCTTCAAATGTGAATTTTATTCCCTTTCCTAGTGCATTTTTTATGTGTGAAGAAGCTAGAGAGAGATATGTTCTGTTTTTAACACTTTGTGTGAAAGTGTCATCTACACATCTGCACTATATTTTGGAGTAGTAGCTACTATGGAGTAGTAACTGACCATTTATGGTATCGATATTTTGATACCTGTAAGAAACCTGAAGAGGAGAATTTATTGAAAATAATATTCTTTTTTCAGATTGACTTTGAACAGGTGTATCTATATATATATATATGCGTTCTTGTTTTTGTTTTTCTTTACTTCTTTTGGTTTAGTGGAATGGACCAATGATTCACAAGCGGAGGCGAATAATTGGCCGTCTGAAATCGATGATTCCACAGATGTACAAACAGATGATGGTTAGTTAATTCAGAAAAAGAAGTAGACTATAAAGAATTTCATCTTCATTTTGTATTTTTCTATGGTTAATTTATCTGCTAACCGTCGTAATTATAAATTTTACAGAACATAAGAAGGAAAGAAAGGCTGAACAATAAACGATGCGTGCTGTGTGTCTTATGTGTTATAGCTTGAACCGTCACGTAATGTCGGTGACAAAACTAAAAATGTATATTGCATTAGGTGTGTTTGACACTGTGACTTTCAGTCACACGGTGAATGGGTATATGTGTAGACTGCTTGGTTTAAGAGTCATTGAGCTGTGTAAGAACCAATGCCTTGAGACAACTGATGCTGATGATGAATATGTCCGGAAATACGCTGAATGACTGAATGATCAACAGACTCTTACTTTACTTACTTTACTTCGGCTATCTCCTACGAGAGGATGAGCCGGCTTCATGAACGTCTCGAATCATCGCTGCCCAGGCGCGGCCATCTGATGCAAGGTTTTGCGATAGGGATATCCAATTCTTGTTCCACATACGGAGTCCGTAGACGGTTTGTAGCCCCAGGCACTCCATATCAGTCTCGACTGTACCAAGCCATGTCTTCAGCTGTCCGCCCCTGCGACATCGCCAAGATGGAAATAGCGAGGGATTTAGAAGTGATATGACCAGATCGTCATCTGGTCGGCGCAGAACATGGCCAAACCACCGAAGGCGGCGTTGTTGGACCAGTACAGGAATTTGGTTGATGTTGTAGCAACGCCGACGCACTTCTTCGTTGGAGAGTTTGTCCTGCCAACGAACATGCAGAATGTACCTGAGACACCAATGGTCTAATACCTCGAGTCTGCGTAAATCTTCCGCGCGAAGAGGCCAGGTTTCACAGCCATACAGGAGAACGGGTCGTATGGAAGCTTGGTAGACCCGAATTTTAGTCCTGAGACTGATTTCTCTCTTGCTCCAAAGAACGCTCCTCAGCTGTAGAAACGCATTCCGGGCGTTGGAGATTCGCGCATTCACTTCGTTTTTCGCTTGACCGTTGGGGAGCATTATGGATCCCAGATATCTGAAGGATGGCACAATTTCAATAGGTGCTCCATTCAGGGATAAGATTTCATCATTGCTGGTGGATGTGTTCGAAAACATTTTGGTTTTGGAAGTGTTAATTTCCAAACCGATAGTAGACGCGAGGTGGTTTATCTGATCGAGCTCCTGTTGCATATCGGGGAAGTTTTCAGCTAATAACACGACGTCGTCGGCGAATTCGAGGTCGGTTATGTGAATATCGGGCAAAATTTAGACGCCGTGGTGCTCAATTAGGGCGTGCCGCAAAATCCAATCAATTGTGAAATTGAACAGGATGGGAGATGCTGGAGAACCTTGCCGGACACCGCAGACTCCGGGAAATCTGTATTTTGCAGGTGACCTATGTCTTAACTTAACGAATGTGTAGAAGAAAATCGAGATGGATCGCGCAAAAACGCCATTTTTTAGAGGGTCGTCAAGTGACATTGCGCGCAATGCAGGCTATTGCTCGAGTGGAATCTAATTGGGAGGAAGCAGCGAGTGGGTTGTCGATGGAATGGTGACATAGAAGAGATCGTGTGACGAGCAGCGTGGAGGAGGAGATGAGTGATTATTGACAATCGTGGACCCAGCTGAAGAGGACGACAGGAAATCAAAAGAAAATGGTGACGTGTTGTTGAAACAGTGTGTTTCATTCGGAACCTAAGGGAATAATAATAATAATGGCTGGAAAGTGTTCTTGCGTATTCCTTAAACCCTCATGTTTTGTTTTGTGTTACTATTCTTTCTATCATTCTTTCAAATCTCTCTTGTCTACTACTTTTGTATGCTTCATGGAGTCTGACAACGTGAACTGGGTACACTATGCTATGCTAATTTCGATAATGAAACTTTGTCAGTCTAATAAGTCATTCATAGGCGAAGGATTATAAGTGTGTTACACATCCTTGAACACATCTTTTTTTATTCTAATAAATTTGAATAAGGGTACGTAGGTAGGTGACTGACTGACTGACTCACAGCCAGACTGGTGGTCTCGCCTGAATTCCTGGTCAATAATAATACTAATATCAAGGTTGAAGTAATTCCTCTGTAATGTAACAACAGAAGACAAGAGTCAGGCAACAGATCGTTTATTAAGGAAATCAACACATATTTATATATTTTCATCCACATTATTATGGATTATTGTTAGCAGAAAAACACCACAGTCTTCTGATTGGTGGTTGTTTCTCACAAAAATTTTGTATTTCATCTCTTTTTGACTGTTCTTTTGAATGTCAGATCATCTAAATAATAACTGTAACCGCCTTTGCAAAGCATTTCTTCTCATTTTTCTGACGACCAATTATTGGGGACATAAACAACATTGACGTAAATTACTGTCCACCAATTTTGACTAACAGCCAGCCAGATCTCACCACACCTTTACTTTTTTTGTTTTTAAAGAAACTTAATTTTCTTTTGTTCAATTGTCGGCACAGATCTACAATAGCATCCCAAGAAATGCGAACGCAGGAGTGACCTTGGGCTGACCAATCAAAAAATGATGGAGTTTCCTGTCTGGAATAAGTTCAATCAGTCCCTTCTGAATTTGGGTGTGGTATATTCCACATTATCCAAAGGTCGTTAGCTCTAGCACGATAGCGATCGCATTTCTTCTTTATCTCAGCATTATTTTGTCGATGTGAACGATGACACTGGCTCTTCTCAACACTTGTGAAGTATTACTCATTTTCCATGATGCTAACTAAATTTCGACAAAACTGAAATCACTACACAGTAGACGTCAACGTATTTTGTGTCTGAGTGACAGTGTTGGCCTCACTCTGGACTTTAAAATCCAATACTGGCAAAGAAACAGTATATCCATCAAAAAAATTTTCGATTTTGCAAAGAAAGTTCTTACAAGACAATTAACTGGGAGTGTCACTTACCAGGATGGACACTCGTTCAATTCCTACACTCCGTACATCTAAATATATATCCATCAATGACCTGTGAATATGGTTGCAGGCTCATTGAAGCATCGGGACTACATCCCGACCGATAGCTGCTACCTTGACATGTTGGTTGCCAGACTTGTATATCACAATGACTCAACAAGCTACACTGACTGGAACCAATGTTCCTGCAGGTCCTACAATGCCAGGGAGGTTTTTAGGATAGTAATTAGACTAAAAGCAGTTGCCAGCATTGTGTAAGAATCTTTCTTACACTATGCAGGGGGTCTGAGGGCGAATTCGTACTGCTGGGGAACAGGGATGTAGCAGCCACAGTGAGGTGTTTCCCTCAGATGACCAGCATGCCAGCCAGCAGTGCTGTCTCTACACTCCGGAGGTATAGAAAGGGTTAGAAAAGGTCGACCCCAAAAATTGTACATCTTGACTTACCCTTTGGTGATCCGTAACCGGTGGTAAGTTTACTAACACGGAACCAATCCCAGAAACGAGTTCATACAGGCCCTGTGTGACCGGCCTCAAGCAGTTGTCTCCTGGGCTCTGCGGTCACGCAACACTCTCTGTTTCAGGTGCCCGTAGAATTAATCAACTTCCACGGTGTGGAGGGGGCAGTGGGGAAGTAACAACGTGAAATACGTGATCTGTTTGAAGTTTGTACCTGAACTGATGAAAAGCGTTCATTCTCATGCTAGAATAATCATAGGATTCGTCAGCTAACCATTAGCACTCGTTCAAGGTCATTTGTGAGCGTTTGCACTCCTGGGACGCTATTCTTAAACTTTACGCAATTTTTTTATCTTTCATTTGGCTTTTTTATTTGTCTAGATGGTGAAAACTGTCGTCTATTACCAGCTAAAAATGAAGATTTAACGTCGAATGCATCACGTTTAGCGCTTAAACGTATTATAAATCCAGAAAATAGTCCATCAATTGCGTCGACATTAAATCGACCTGAACATGAACAACCTACAATCAAATATTCACAAGATCGACAACAATCGCAGCAACAACAGTTAGACGTAAATTATACTCCTACAAGTCAACAATATCAACGTTCAAGTCCATCTTGTCTGTCTTCAGATCAAATAACACCGACCAATAGCCCACCACATTCAGGTACACATAGTCGTCGGACATCAGATGGTAAATCAAGTCTATGTGGTGGTAGTAGTGGTATAGAATACACAGATTGGTTAAATTCATCTACACCAGAACAGTTAGTTAAACGATTAAGGTGTACAGATAATTTAGCGGAACAAGTTGAACTCCTTGGTCGACTACATCAATTACAAGGATTGGATTGGAATACTGGTATAGATCCAACACAACCAGCTACTGTTAGATCTCTACTAAAAGAGGTTTGTTTATTTATATATTTTTTCTATTCATGAAGAGAAATCTTGATAAAAATTATGTATATATTTTTGCTTTCGTCCCACTTTGGGACTCTTCAGCAAAGTATATCTGTTACCGCACTAGAAACAGAACCTGGAAATCATGAGGTTAAGAAACAAAGTCTTTGTTTATTCAACTATTGAACTAGAGTTTGGTACGATCCATTGATCACGACTTCTTATTAAGTCATGTAGCCGTGATAGAGTCCACTTTACCAGGTATGAAGTAAACGGCGATGGATTATGGTGCCGCCTGATCGTGAGCTGACAAAAGTTAGAAGTCATTGGTAATTGGATGACAACCTGGTGGTTGAAAAGTCAATGGGATTTTGTATATTGACTGATGAAGGGTCGAGAAATACTATTATTTTTATTATTTCCTTTAATTCCTGGAGGAACGTAGGGCTTCTGCTGCATGTTTCCCTTGCGTTCGGTTGTGTGCTAAAGTTTTCATTTGGCTCCACATCTGCTCACATGCTTCCATCTCCTCTTCACATGACCTCCTCCAAGTCACCCTTGCATTAACGACAAACTCGCCGATCTCCTTTCGGGTTCCACTCGAGCAATGGCTTGTCCAGTGATGTCACTTGATGGTTTGTTTCCTCAGAGTATGGCCAATCCACCTCCATTTTTTCCTACATATTTGTCGCACAGTCGGTTCCTGCTGGGTTGGTTCGCTCTCAGAGATCCCTGTTGGTGGTCTTTTCTGGCTGGCCATCTGATCTTGAGTAGTATTGAGCGAAGGCAGCTGTTGATGAGGGTCTGTAGTTTGTTTGATATGCTCTTTATGAAACGCCAACTATTCCAACTTCTTTCACATATTCCCAATACTTGAATTTCGTATCTTTTCATCTCGTTTGCAATCTGGGCAGCTTTGCCACTCTCCTACATAGTGCGGATGTTCGATGTCCCCACAAAGACTTTTTCCTTTGGCGCAAGGAGATTCATCTTACTAAAGTTTCTGTAGCAACTTTGTTTACAGGGTTGGGTTGCTAGTCTCACGCCTGAGAAGAGGATTGTTACATTAAACTATAGTTTACAGAGGAGCGACCTTGTGGGTTGCTCCCCTTAAAATCAGGAAAACAAGGAATAAAGTAATCAGAACAACACCATAAAAAAGAAAAATAATTCACAACAGGAAGGGCAACAAGTGACAACAACAATAATAAAGAAAAGATAACCTTATCAGTATATTATCACAGTCAGATACAGTTAACCGAAATGATACCAAAAATCATAGACTCACTGACTTGAGCCAACTTGAACATGTAAATCCAACAATATATACAGTTATAGATATTAGATAGTCCACAATACATCAAACAGATAGTTATAGGTATTATCTGTCAGTAAGATTATATCCACAGATTCAGTGTTCGAAAATCAAATAATTACAACAAGTTCCACAACTTTTTAACAAGAAACTTCATAGAAATAACAGTTTTGGTGGAACTAAGTAAATGTAGGGTAACAATCGAAAAGCGCGTCAAGCTTAAGAACTAGGATAAAACAACTATTGTGTGCCTCTTGGCTTTCAGGCTATTAAGTTCGCTTACCTCGACATGTACTTTAATGGTCTAGTTACGCGTCTTTCACCTATTGAATCAATGAGATGGCCATATGTTCACCGTAAATAATTTCACATGGTTTAGACACATTATTGAATAATGTTTAAACAGATCACTGGAGACAATGCTGGGGAGGTTGTCATGAACTGCAGGTTTTCTTTCACCAACAACTGCCTTCGTTTGCTCGATATTGAAGATAAGATGATCAGAAGGGATAAATAAAAATAAGAAGGAACTCTGAAAAGTAGCGGTTCAATAGAGAACTTATCAACTGAAAAATGTGCAGTAAAATGGAGGTGAACTGGATTTACACGTTTCAGGCGACTGTTGAGTGTTAGGTTTGACACTTGAGAGGAACCTGGAACGCAGGTGGCCAGTTGAGCAGCCAAGAATGACATGGAGGATATCATGTGCAAGAGGATGAAAGGAAAGCCTACAGGAGATTGTAGACCCAGTTAAGAATGACTGTGGAGAACAGAGTGAAGCGGTGATGTGGTGCTGAATTCCACTTTTCCATTTGGAGCTCATGGGAAAAATAATAATAGTAAAATAATAATAATCTACCTACTAACTTTTAGTCTTGTTATTCATGTAGTGTAATGATGATTGTGTCGCAGCACAATTCGAACAATCGTTACACGAATTCCTAGTCTAGCTGTCTCTGTCTACCACCCGAACTAGAGCTTGATTTTGAGTCTGCTGCGGAAGTTAAATTGATGGGTCGGCCATTGAATTGGATCCGAGTGGCTTAATGGTCTACGAGCTAGCTCAACTTCTAACCAGATCCTGGGTTCGAACCCCGATGGTGAGTCCATACTGTTTAAGAGTACCAAACTAGGACGAAACAGCTCTCAAATATTCAGTGCTAGTTTTGCAGTGATTCTCCAACTGATGTTAGCTCATAATTAAATTCTTCAACCGAATATAAAAGAAGTTTAGACAACAGAACGGAATAACAGAAAAATTATCATCTAAGTGGATCAATAATCTTTCTTATCATTTAATTATTGAACAGGATTCGTTTTACTTAAATTGATGATAACTTTTCATTCTAGTGGCATATGATGTAAAGTGTTACTCAAAAATCAACTTTCGCAACTCCATCCGGTTTTTGGTGTCCTACCTAGCTGGCTGAACTTCGATAAGCGAAGCGGTGCTCAGATCTGTGACTCTTCTTTGTTGAAAGCCAAGCTCCTAAATCAATAAGACATAGCTGTACATATAAGGATTGTGATAATGGCTGAATACAAAATGTAACCTGTAACCTGGGTCTGATCGAAAGTTTATGCCTTTAATCTGGTAGATATGTGGTATTAAGACACGTAGTTAAGCCATTCCCTTAAATATAAGATTGTGATTGAACTATATTTTTATGTGGTTGTGTTCTTTGAGCTGGATAGTTAATTTGCAAAGCTTTCATCGCCCTACTACGTGACATCTTCAGCGCATACTTCAATTTAATGAAGTGAGCTTTCAGATTTCTCCACAAGTTTATTAATCATCTCTCCAGGTGGGTGACCTTGGACGTGATTGGTTGTTGTTGTGTGTTTTCTAGGCTATTTCTATTGGAACTTTTTTTTCTTTGACTTGAACTTTGACCCTTTGTGTGTGAGGTTTCTTTCTTATCGGTTGATAAATTTTGCCTATATCGATGTGTCTATTGATTGATGATTCACAGGAATACGAGACAGCCTTCTTAAAATTCTCTAGCATTCCTAATGTTTCCTCTATCTAATATTTGAACGTTGGTTGTCCCAAGCAAATTGATGCCCGTGGCGGTCTGTATGCAGTGAGCCGTTATGAGGGAGTGGATGTCATGTCTTTTGATGACTAGCTTATGATCGTGGATACGAAGACGATGAGGACGTCCACTTTGGCTAATATAGTGTTTTTCGCAGTTGTTACAATGTATTTTGTAGATGACATTGGTTTTATCTTCTTTCGTTGTTCAGTCTTTTGGTTTACATAAAGCCAACTGAGTAAAGTGACTTTGTTGGTTTGTGTACGACGTCAATTCCTAAAGGTTTGAAGAGTCTTGTAGTGATTTCTGAGATGTCTTTTATATATGATAAGGCGATTTTCTTTGTGCTTTCCTTGGTGGCTTTTCGTTTGATAGGTTGGCTTGGTGGTATATGTCTTTTGATGAAATTCCGTGGATATCCATCCATTCTTTCGAAAACGTCCATGAGATATTTTTCTTCAATTTTCCTTAAGGTGGGAGTCCTGGCCCTCTTGAATAGTGTTTGTATGCAGTCCCTTTTGTGTGTTATTTGATTTGGTCTGTGTGAGTTGATTTTCTATGAACTTGAGTTTCTGATTCCCCTGTGATTGTTCGCTTGACTAAGACGTCCAAAAATGGGATTTTGTTCTCGGATTCCTCTTCTCTTGTGAATTTGATATCGTTGAAGACGTTGTTTATTAAGTTGTGAGTTTTATCTAACTCGTCTCTTTTGGTTATTACAAATGTGTCGTCTACATAACATATCCAAATCTTGGTTTTGATCTTTGGTAGGATCATGTTTTCGAGCCTTTGCATTACTCACTGCTTCTGCAATCAAACCTGATATTGGAGATTTCATGGGTGTCCCTTTGACTTGTTCATATATATTGGCCGTTGAATTGGAAGTATGTTGTTAGGCAGAGGTTTGTGCATACCATTCAGCATGTGTGTTGCATTTCTGATTGTTATAGAAGGTGTTCATCGTTGCTAAGTCATTGCTCCATGGTTTCTAGGAATCGGATAGCTGATTTGATGGAGTGATGACAAGATTCCGTTACGTCTTTTAGTTTCCTGTATATTTCATTGGATAAATTATATGTTGGAGTTCCTGGGAGTGATACATTTGGTCGTAACGGGATATTTGGCTTGTGTATTTTGGGTCTACCGTAGAATTGGGTAGGACTAGTCCATTGGATTTCATTTGCCATTAGTCTTGTTTTGTGATCTGTCCAATTTCAGTGAGCTTGTTTAAGGTCCTTTGTATGCGCTTTTCCAATGTATGTATGGGATTTGTTGGGAGTTATTGATATATATCCTCGTCTTTGAAGTGCTTTACTCCAGTATACTTGATAAACTTTGTACCACTTTTAGAATGTCTATTAATTATTGAAACACAAACTTAACAACACTATGGGCGCCAAGAAGGACGCCATACAAAACTGTCTAGTTAATATGAGCTCTTGGATACTTCCCTGTTCCTCAAACCGAAGATGGTTGTTTAATGGAGACGGCACCCTCTCCTAATCTTTTGGCTTGAAGTCTGGCTCACAAACCAGTGTCCAGCGTGTCGACTATGACAGATTCCAACACCATTCGATTCGTTCTGATTGTGTAGCCGCCCATGTATGCCACATCTTTGGAATCAGGGTTTTCTAGCTCTCTTAGGTAAACCTACATGTCCACTAGTCTGGTGGCTGTGAGCGCCAAATGGTCGCATTTGTCCTTTCACCACTTTGAGTTTGTATATATATATTTACATATATGTTTTTATATTTCTGTCTGTCATTATCAAAGTAGTTAGAGTTATTCGCCATCAACAGGTTAGTATACTCAGTTGTAAAATACAAACGCGATCTGATAAAGTGCTCGATACACAGGGCAAGAGCAATCTGCTCGGATGAATGTCTTGATGAAGAACTTAATAATATTAAATGGTTCCTGAGTGAAAACGGTTATCCAGAATAGTTTATTGACAAGAATATGAATCTAAAATGAAAGCTGCCCAAGGTACCAACGGTTCCTAAAAAAGCCTTATTCTTACAAATTCAGTTCCCTGGGGACAACATCAGCGAGATGCTAACACAACGCCTTAGGAATACGGCGGTAAAAAGAGCATTCCCTGTTGTTGGATTATGCTGTATCTTCAAAAACCACACACACACCCTTATTTTGCGTTCGGGAGTAAAAGATAAACTGCCTAATTTCACCTCTTCCATGTGTATCTACCAATTTAACTGCTCCTGTGGAGTGAGCCAGTTAGTTGTATAGGCCGTAAAATTAGGCGTGTTTCTCGTCGAATTTCTGAACATCATCCTGCATAGTGGTTAAGTGAAGGACAAACAAAATCTATTCATAGCGTTATTCTATCTCACTCATCTTGTGGATACAGAACACAAGATTGATGTTAACGAGACGGCTGTCAAAGTTATTTACCGCATACCTACGAATCTCAATTTCGCATGAAGAGTTCGCCTACTAAATATTGCTGAGACCGGCTGTTGGAATCCACATTAACAAGGCTAATTTGTGTATCTAAAAGAAGTTAGTTCAGACATAATCCTTACCCGCTTGGTCATCTAGGTTTGAATGACCCTCAATATTTGTGGAATTTTCCTAATTTTAATTGATATTCTATTTGCTACTATATCTTTATTATTATTATTATTATTATAATTTAAGCATCTTTTATGAACTGTGGTGATTCCATTGTGATCTTACTTTACAAATCGATGTTATTTAAAAAAACACTAATATTGTTATTGGCTACTAGTCTAGAATACTCTGTGTATATAAACTTGCATATATAATTGTAAAGCCAGAAGAGGAGGAAATAATCGAAAAGGGGATATTCTTTGCTGGCTTAATTATTTTGTCTTTTCATGGATGTCTGAATGAATATTTTCGCAGTATTTTGAAATCTTTCTTTCTTTCTTTTATCGTCAATTACTTCTTTCTTCTCCAGGTGTATGAACGTGCTACTCAAACTACCTCATGGTTTCTGTTACGTTATACAGCTGGTCTACTGGGAAAACGTGCTGATAGCTTAGCTAAATCATTGGCTGATATCTTGGTGCTACAAAAACAAGTAACAGTTGGTCTACCACCAGAACCACGTGAAAAGGTTATTGATGCACCGCTGTCACCTGACCAATTGTGTGAATTAATCCAAGAAGCTTGTGGTGAAGACAGTCTGATGACAATACTTACACAGGTTAGTCAACTTCAGGGATTTATGTACCTTCTTAATGTACAAAATAGAATTTGCAAACTATTTATCTGATAAAACACACACACACACAATAGTCGAGTAGGGTAGGTAAACGTTTTGAGCACAATCTCTTACTCATGATCATGCCATTCTATTGACATGACTTTATAACTTGCGTTACATGTCCTCACTTCCTCATGTTCTTATTGCAGTGTTCCATAAAGCCAGAATATTTTTAGCGTCATTTCAATTGCTCGTGATCAATTGATGAGGTTATGCAGCTACATGGATTGAGACAGTTAAGATGTTTGGCATGCGATTCATTCCTGCTGCCAAATGTAACATGATGCTACTGGACTGGACTGGACTGGACTACACTGACTCCTAGCTTAGAAATAGGGAGTGGAGTGGTTGGAGGAGCGTGTTGACCACTTCGCTTATTTAGGAAGTTGCAGCAGCCAGCTCAGAGGGTTGGTCACTGATGAAATCTTAGCAAGGATACAGAAGGCTAGTTTCGCATATGCCAATTTACGCTGTGTCTGGCTTAGTAGACGTGTTATCCGGCTGGCTATGAACCAAGAAATGTGTGTATTGCTCAGAATTAATCCGCTTCGTCCTCCTTTATGGCTGTGAGACCTAGCCATTGAGAGTGGAAGACATGAAAAGGCTGGCTAGCTGTCTTTGATCATAGGTGCCTGCGTTCTATCTACCGCGTGAAGTGGTATAATAGGGTGAGCAATACTGAGGCTAGGCCATCGGTCGAGTTCTAGGTAAAGAGGGAAAATCAATAGACTAGGCTCTCAAGTTACATTGACTGAGATGGTTAGGACATGTGTTTTTAGCATTCACCAATAGCCACCGCCTTCCTCAACTACTGGAAATGTTAGCTGACTGATATATGATCATGTTGGAACCATTCCCATCAGTGGCGGTCAAACGAAAACATGGCTTCATGAGTCAATGTACTCTACAACAGTTAGTTTAAGCCACGTAGGAAGATGTAGGTAGACTTTCTAGTTGTGATCCTCGGAACGGTAGAAACTAATGACGTTTCGCTATTTAATGCTGCTGCTAATAGCTTTATCAAAGCAGTGATATTAAACCAGAATTTACAAAATCCACTCAGCTTATTACATATAACAACTTAATCATCGTTCCTCAGCATGGCGTCATTTTTGCATTGTTGTCAAATTGGTCATTTGGTGAAGATAACAAAACCATGTGTGCAGAATGTTGGATTTAATAAGTGTATAAAATTATAAAGCAGCGTATGTTTACATAATGAAATTGCTTATCACAACCGTGTGTTGATTTTGTCATTTCATTGGGGAGGGTGGTGTTGTGACCAGGTCAAATTCTGTTTTAGTCCATCATTCCTATTCAGTTCAGACAATTTGGATTCCATTTGATGATATGAAGTGTTTTTGATGAAATGAGAGGTTCTTTGTGATTTCTCAAATGCTTTTTTCTGGATGTGATGATTTCAATACTGTCAAAATCAATTTTGTGTCGTGATTCTGTAGCATTGCGTGTAGTCAGTCCGCTCCGTCCTCCTTTATGGTTGTGAGACCTGGCCACTGAGAGTGGAAGACATGAAAAGACTAGCTGTCTTTGATCATAGGTGCCTGCGCTCTATTTCCCGTGTAAAGTGGCATAATAAGGTGAGCAACATTGAGGTTAGGCGTCGAGTTCTAGGTAAACAGGGAAAATCAATCGACGAAGTCGTGAAGATACAAAGACTGAGATGGTTAGGACATGTGTTACGTATGCCAAGCCATCGCCTCCCTCGACGAGCAATGTTAGCGGATATAGGGTCAGGCTGGAAAAAAGCTAGCGGCGGTCAAACAAAAACATGGCCTCACCAGTCAATGAAATCCACAACAGTTGGTCTAAGCCAGCCACGTAGGAAGGTGTAGACTTCCTGACTGGTTGGGGTCCTCGGGACGGTAAAAATCTATGGTTGGAAACAATTGGTGACATGGCTCAAAACCGTTCTCAGTTGCACAGATGCATCCACTCCCTGTGACTTATGATCTCCAATGAAACTGTTTTGTTCTTCGTTATTACTCCTCCTTTGTCTCACACCTCTGCTCACTGTTTCTATTATGCTTTTCTTGTACTTTCTTCTCTTGCTTCGCGTGCTACACGGAATGTGGCGACTTGAACTTCCGCACATTTGTGCAAAGTTGTTCGATGTCGAAAACAGACAGACATTGTGTGTAGACAACCTATGACTGATGATTTTTCAAGCTTTTCTAGTGTTCAAATCGATTTCTCGGTGGTTAAATAGAGGCGACTCTGCGGTGTTCTATTTCTTCTGATTACTTTGATTTGTCTATAGCGATGTTTGTCCGATTTATATCGTATCACATTCAAAACAAGCATTTTATTTTAAAGACACAATTAGACAGAGAATCTTTAGGGATTTGATCAACGCAAAAATGACCGCGTACTGAGGAAATATGATGAACGAAGTTGTTATATATGAGCTGAGTGGATTTTGTAAATTCTGGTTTATTATTACTATACTCTGATAAAGCTATTAGCAGCAGCATTAAATACCGAAACGTCAGTAAAAACAGAAATAGCGTTTTGTTTTTCATTCATTGGGAAATACGAAATTTAGTAAAGACTCTCAGCCACAGAGTTAGAGGTATATGCTCAGAAGAAGTTATTGAAGATAAATTAAGCATTGTATATGATACTTTGATTGAAAATAGCTATCCCGACAAATTTATCAAGCAACAAGTGATACAAAAAACGGAAAAGGACTACTCACCATCTGTAAACAAGAAGCCTCTTTATACATGCGACTGCAATTCAACGGCGATATACCAATTGAGATAATTACGAGGAGAATAAGAAAATTAGTTCAAAGAACTTTTAATGCTGGTAGCGGACTACACGTATTATTCTCTACACGACCGATGGTGCTACCTCGACTGAAAGTTGAAGTACCTAGGCTAGCTGGCCACTTCCAATTATATCTACCAATTCAACTGCTCTTTTAGTGGAGCGATTTATATCGGTCATTGCTGTAGGAACTTAATTTTCCGTGTTCACTCAGAAACATCTCTCACTATGGCTAAGTAAAGGTGTAGTGAAAACCATCACCAACAGTTCGATATTAGACCATCTGATGTGAACCGGCCGGCCACAAAGCCAGCTAGTGTGGAAGAATTCTTCTCTATAATTTACCAGGCACCAAATAAATTGCCAAAATCATCAAAGCACCGCATGCTCCAAACAGCAGAGGCTATCACAATTCGCGTTGAACAACCAGTGCTTTGTGTTCAAAAGAAGCAAGTCCAAATAGCCACTACTACTGCTCTGGCTGGCCTTCAGTAGAGACTATAAACTCATGAATTTGTGCTATTATCTTTCCTAATTCTTCTGACATTCAGCTTATTTTATGTTGATGCTATTGAGCTGTTATCCATTGGTATTATTATTATTATTGATTCGATGTTATTTAAACATTAATGTTGCTCATAACACTAATTCATTCATTCATTCACTATAATGTATGCATAACTGTAGAGCCTGATGAAGAAGGCGTTATCGAAAAGGGTACTTTTTGTTCACTATCAATTCTTTTGAAAATGCAAAAAACCTTTATTATGATGAATATCATAGGTTCTCTAACTGATATCAATCCGTTATCAACTCGTGAAAATAAAACTAATCCTTACAAACCAAACTATAGAAAATTAATCTGATGCTCGCTAGTGATATTGGCTGGCTACAGGACGGAGTTTCCTAAAGTTCTAGTGAGAAGTCGTGACCACTGAGGTCCATCCAGATAACACATATGAGGATGGATGTCCCACCGACGACAGTGGTTAGGGTGGCGCTAAATCACGAATTGGTAGAATTTAGAATTCATTCACTGGCCATTGAATCGGGTTCCTGTGGCTGATTGGCATACGAGCTTGCCGGCTTGTAACCGAAAGGTCCAGGTTTGGAACAATACCCTGTGGTTGGTTGCGTACTGATCATGTTTCTCAGACTAGCCTGATGAAACAGCAGCTGTCCAGTACTCCTTGTGGATGATGTTTTGCAATGGTTCTCTAACTGATATCAATCCGTGGTCAACTCGTAAAAACAAAACTAACCCTTACAAACCAAACTATGGAGAATATCATATACCCAATTACCAAATTTTTTTTTCAAACTTTCTATAGTTTGGTTTGTAAGGATTAGTTATGCTTTACGAGTTGATCACGGATTGATACCAGTTAGAGAACCATTGAAAACCAGGGAGTACTGGACAGCTGCTGTTTCATCCTAGTTTGGGAATCATCGGCAGTACGCACCCACTACAGGGTGGTTCCAACACTGGACCTTCCGGTTACAAGCAGGTAACCTCGTATACCATTCATCTACTGGGAGCCGATTCAATGGCCAACCCATGAATTCTAACTTCTACTAATTCGTGATTTAGCGCGACCCCAACCATTGTCGTTGGTGGGATATCCATCCACACACGTGACATTTAATTGGACCTCACTGGTCACGACTTCTCACTAGAACTCAGGAAACTCAAACCTGTAACAAGTCATCAGCGAGCATCAGATTAATTTTCTATAGTTTGGTTTGTAAGGATTAGTTATGTTGGGGGGGGGGTCACGCTAAATCACGAATTAGTAGAATTTAGAATTCAAGAACCATTGAATCGGGTCCCAGTGGCTGAATGGTATACGAGCTTGCCTTGTAACCGGAAGGTCCAGGTTTGGAAACACCCTGTGGTGCGTGCGTACTGCCGATGATTCCCAAACTAGGATGAAACAGCAGCTGTCCAGTACTCCCTGGTTTTTTTCAAACTGTTAAAAGAGAAATTGGTTTGTACGTATTTATATATGTTGTAACACACAAAATCAAGCTTATCATTTACAGGATTACGCAGTTGGAGGTGAGAAATTATCTCAGTTCCTATTTAGAAACCAACATCTGTTCACATCATGACATATAATTGATCTGCTTGCTATACACGCATAAATGGA